TTAACTTATTGAAGCTACATCAACCGACTCTTAACACCGGAGATACCTCTGATCGACACTAACCCTGTGAGAATTTTTGAGCTACAAATTGAGAGGTCGGTGTGTGCACTAATGGAAAAACAGTGTAAGGAGTTTGGCATTTACGATTTTGCATTCCGTTGTGGGTATGTTTTATGGCGCTTACTTAAGTTAAACAGAGAGTTGTAGGTTACAATAACAAAGCACATAGGTAGGAATGGAGCAAAAAGAGCAGTAAGGAAATCGAGGAAGATTCGGCGATCATTATAGATAGTGAATGAGTAACTGTCTCTCAACTGTATTGTATACTCAAAGATATTTCTATAACAATAAACAGGGAAACATGGTGCGCGACAAAATGAAGGATAAAGGATAAACACTGTTTGTGACCCCCCCCTCCTCCCCCCAGAACCCGTACTTTTTGGCTGCTGGTTGAGATCTTGAATGAAAAATCATCCCATTTTCCTCGTGGCAATAGGTTTGGTTTTATTGTTCTGTGGTGAACGATTTTGCATATAGTATGGGAAGACGTCATTGACAGGAAGCAGACGATCTAGTAAAGGTCCAGTGTTAACAACTGCGGTTATAATTCTGAGAAAACAAATTTGTTTTCTCAGAATTATAACCGCATATTTTCATAGAAAATTCATGGCCTGAAAAAATAGGCCATGAAAATGAAATATCTGTATTCAGGCCCTGGAAAAATGCTTTCCTGGGTTTTTAATGACATTTTTATGGGATTTTCATAACATTGCAGTTCATAGTGAAACTTCATGTGGATTGAAAGCGGGTCAACCTTGTCAAAACCTTTTGATGGGGCGTTGCTCCTCGGAGCCTTGTGACAACACCACGGTGACTAATGAATCTTTTTTTTTATTATTATTTTTTAATATTTGATATTTAATAGAAATTAGAAATTTTCAGAAATTCTGGATAAACTAAGCATAAAAAGAAAAAAACTTCCGCGACAGAATAAGCTCGGTTGCCAAGTAACAATTCATCCTGATGCGGAAATTTGTAGATATAGTTGAGGTAATCCGGTTAGCGCGATACTTTTGTCCCCGTTGATTAATATCACAATATTAAACGACGTATTTTCGATGCAAACGTAACAGATTTTAATCTCTGCTTTTGTTCAAAAAGGGACGAGGGACAAAGAGGGAGGGCTGGGATAATAAGCATGGTCTCCAAAGTCCAGCATAAATTAACGGGTTCATCAGTTAGTCGAGCTTTATCTTAATGTTCGATGAATTTGTGCTTACACCTTAATGGACTGTGTAGATATTAGTGGATAAATGCTGGATAAAGTTTCAACGACCTCAAACTTTTTACCTAACATTTCTTTTGCTCTCTTGTTCGCGGACCATGACGACCCATGTGACAACATGTCTGTCAGTCTTTTGAACAGCTTTGGCGACATTTATGGTAATTTAACTAAAAGTGGACAGACTGCAAATTATAGTAGTTGCTAAAAAATATATCTACGTGTCGTAACAGTTTATCAGTAGGATGCCTAAAATGTGTGCAGTTCCAAAAAGGGATGAGGGACAAAGAGGGAGGGCTGGAATAATAAGCATGGTCTTTAAAGCCCTGCTTAAATTAACCGGTCCATCAGTTAGTCGAGCTTTATCTTAATGTTTGATGAATTTGTGCTAACACCTTAATAGACTGTATAGATATTAGTGGATAATGTCGGATCAACTTTGAACGACTTCAAACTTTTTACCTAACATTTCCTTTGCTCTGTTGTTCGCCGACCATGCCGACCCATGCGACAACCTGTCTGCCAGTATCTGCCAGTCTTTTGAACAGCTTTGGCGACATAAATGGTAATTATTCAAAGTGGGCAGACGGCAAATTATAGTAGTTGCTAAAAAACATATCTACGTGTCGTAACTGTTCATCAGTAGGATACCTAAAGTGTCTGCATTTCCACAGTTGGTTTCGGCTCCATTAAATCCTATACCAATTGCAGAACATTTTAGGAGGAGCCACCCACAATGTGTGCGCAGTCAAGGGCAACACATATAAAGGTGATGTTACACGAGACGATTCGCAACGACGATTTTTAGCGCAACACAGCGTTGCAATGCTGGAACAGTGTTGTATCCATTCGAAAGAATGTCGCAACAATTAATGTTGCAACGCTATGTTGCGCTAAAAGTCGGAGTGTGTATAAAATGCGAGCGAGCGAGTCATGCAAGTCATGCGGTCCATTGAAGAGTCATTGAAAAAACACCATAAAAATCGAAAACAGTAATTCGAAAAACATTAACTGAACGCTAACCGTTGTAAATAAGTGTTTAATCCTAAACAGCACTTAACCCTAGCGCTAAAATCAGTGCTTAACCCTAATCAGTACAATGAGTGCTTAAACCTAATCAGTACATGAGTGCTCAACTCCTCATCTGCAAAATTTGCAGTTTTGGCCGTTTTATGGGTTTTTATGTAAACGGTTTTCTCTCTATATAGAGAGAAAACCGTAATAACCGGTTTACATAATAACCCATAAAACCGCCATAAATCGGCCCGTGGACCACACAGGAGAGACGTAACACACATTTTAAGTACGGTAAGCTGTTTTTTTTTTATTGAAATCCTTTCATTTTCGTAGGTTACAGAAACGATAGGTTTTTTCCCATGCAAATCCTTATATTTTGAATGTTACGCAACAATACCGATGCTCATATTTCGAGCTTGGGCTACCTGTGGCGTCACGACTCACAAAGGTTCATGGGTAAAACTGTTTATGTGCCTCATTTCAATCGTGACACGGTCGAGTTCGCATCTCGTGAGAGAGAGAAATCAAAACCCGGGATCAAGATACTGCTTCCTTTTCTGAAAAACGTTACGGAAGAGAGCGTTTTGGAGAATTTTCAAGATCTCATACTGGCCTTAGAGGCTTGCTATTGGCTTCATAAGGTAATTTCCATAAGTTTATCGCGATTCACAGACGATCGAAGGTGCGATTTTAGGCGGTGATTTCCTGCTTTTCAGGAGATTTTAGGTACTGTTTAGTGCTGTGCTTATATGTATATTTCTATCTCAGAAGAGTGAAAGAGATCTGTAGTTCATACCTGGATTTGCTTAAATAAAATATTTGTCCATTTGAAAGTAACTTTTGATGGACTTTATTAACCGGGCAAGGAGGGGGAGCGCGAACAAAGAGCAAGGTGAGAAATCTTGCATCGTCTCTCATAACAATTTTATTTTCATCGACAATTTTATATTAGTTTGCTAACACTGACTGTTTGTAATCCTTATGAGCAAATAAATCTTCTATAGGCAAGGGAAAAACAGACCAAAAGTAGCGCCCAAACAGCTACAGCACAATAGGAATTTCACCGAAGCTAAGCCCGCAGAAATAAACCACAATCTTGTCTGTACGTTCATTGAAGTGAGAGCAGTGTATCGATTTTTGTTATAAACCTAACCTCACAGTTTTAAAATCCTGTATGATGTTGTCTAGATCTTCGATAATGGTTTTGTGTTTTGGTAGAGATTTATTCCCTTGCGTAAGTTAACATGAAGATTTACATACACATAGCACACTAAAGACACGCTTTCTGTTTCCTCACTGGGTTATGAAAAATGTTTTGTTTCCAAAGGTTATCACAATATTCAAAATTATTTACCTTTTCTGGTTTAAATGAAACAAACTCTTCCTGGATTTTGTGTTACTCGCTTCACTTCGGCTTTCGCTTCGGCAAGTTTCTCAGCCCGTTTCCCGGGAGTTGTACTACTTGGCTGAGACAAGGCACTTTCAATGCCTCTTAACGGGGAAACTAACAGGGGTAGACCCGAGTAGGCCCCAAAATTTACAAAGAAGAAAGGTTGAAGTAACAAGTTGACCGAAATAATCCGATAAAACTCACTAACAGTAACCAGCAATGAATCCAAGAAGAACGTCGAAAATAACAGTCAAATCATCATGGCGGCTTGCACATGACCGAGCAATTCAAACTTGTCACAAACGCTCAAGAAAGCAAAATATTTAAAACTAATGCAACTGCTATCAAGATAAAGTGTTCCAACAACTTTCCACGGCAGTATGGTGTCGAAATTACCTACACAAACTTGGAATAAAGCAAAAATTTCACCACATATACCTCTGAAAACAGCTCTTTCCAAGCGCGGAAATCACTTTACAAATGGCGCATTCTGATTGGTGGAATCTCGTGACGCACACCGCCTGGTCCGGAAGGAAATCTTGTCGAGTCAATATGACAGTTCTATTGTCTTTTGAAGAAAAAACAGATGACGCTCGCACGTGCGCATAATCGGGACACTGTCCCTTTAATTGAAAAGTCATTTACCCGCAACGGCCTCAAGTGGGGTTTTTATTGACTCCTCTATTGGAAACTCATTAGTTACTCATTTGAGAGCCTCAGGATAATCATGATTAATTTCTTTCAGATGTTTTGAAAACCGGGGCAAAATAACCAGGTGCAGGAATGGGCATAGCCCTATTTGCAAAACAAACTTCGGACAAAAACTCCCAATTCCCTATCATCAAGCGAAAACATTAAAAAACGCTATAAATAGAAATCAATTATGAATTTAAAAGATTATAATTAGGCATGCGCGACCACACGATCAGCCTCCGCGGAAGTCGGCGACAACAGCCAAGAACTAGGCTTTTCCTGCTCAGCTGGAAAGTGATTTTTACGTCAAGGTTACCTTATTACTTTTATTAAAAAGTGAGCCATAAAACCAAAACCCTTTCACAGTCATCTCGCGTGATCATTCGATACAGTGCATTGTCCAATACTTGAAAAATATTGGACCAGCAATGAAGCAATCTGATTGGCTGCTTTTAGTTATTGGCCCTCTGAACCAACAAAGGAAGTTGGCCAATGTTTGGTAAATAAACCACCGGTTACCATGGCTACCTGCCAATGACGTCAAACCTCTTCTTTAGTTTAATTGAAGACAGTTCCTTTTCAAACTTGATTCTTGCTTTGGTTCCCAACCTGGTTCCTGACTAGGTTGCTTTTTCCCCTCGTCTCCTTTTGCCTCAAGTTAAGTGCCACCTTGAATTGAAGGCAGAGGCAATTGTAAAATTGAGCAAGCGAAGCCCGCTGGTCAACACGATCCTTGAACTCGATAAGATTACTTTGTTGTGTAGACTGTACACGTATGTTTGAACAACTGTAAATGGCAACTAAAGGGTCGACTGCCGAACATCGTTTTGGCTCGTTTGCACCAATAAGGAATGGAAGTCAAGCGAAATGGTACGTGGACGGACAGGACTATATGGCAGCTGTTGCTGATTCGATTGAAGCAGCGAAACAGGAGATCTTCATCACAGACTGGCAACTCAATCCACACATCTTCATGAAAAGGCCTGACTCGGGAGTCGACAGTTTACTTTGGCGTCTGGATAAGATGTTGCTGAGAAAAGCTGAGCAAGGTGTTCGCACGTACATATTACTCTACTGGGAATCGAAGAAAATAGCGGGTATGGACCTTGGTAGTGAATATGCTAAAACTGTTCTGAGTCATGACAACATCGAGGTTCTTCGTCATCCAGATATGACTAACCTCTTTCTTAATCCTTCCACCATGTTCAGGTGGAGTCACCATGAGAAAGTGGTGGTTGTTGATCGGAGTGTAGCGTTCGTTGGGGGCATTGATCTTTGCTTTGGCCGATGGGATACTCACAGCCACCTGTTAACAGATCCCTTTGCACCTCATCCCTGTGTGTTGGAGAGTGATGAGTGTGCCAGAATTCCTAAGAAATCTAGAGTACAATATGCACAGTGGGTAGGTAAGGACTACGGTAACACCTTCCTACATGGAACAAGAACTAACCTGGATGAGCCTATGAAGGATGATGTTGATAGAAGTAAAGATCCTCGCTTGCCATGGCATGATGTGGCTTGCTCAGTTTCTGGACCTCCTGCTCTTGATGTTGCCACACACTTTATTCAGAGATACAAATATCTCAAGCCACATTACGGCTTTCAAGATATCCTACTGAATACTGAACTTTATCAGATTTCAGATCCAAGTGGTAGGAATCTCACGATACAAGTTCTCCGTTCAGTGGGCGAATGGTCAGCCGGTCAGCCAAAGGAAACCTCTATCTACAATGCTTATCTACGCGCGATTGAGAATGCAGAGCATTTTGTTTACATCGAAAATCAATTTTTCATCTCATCTCACGGGGAAGTGCACAATAAGGTAATGCAAACCTTGGCTGACAGAATTTATCGTGCTCATCAACAAGGTCAGGATTTCCGCGCAATGGTCATCATACCATTAAAGCCAGAGTTTCCAGAGAAATGGGACACAGACGATAACTTAAGACTTGTGAGCTACGAGACTTATGCCACCATCTACCGTGGGGAAGATTGTTTGATGAACAGGCTGAAAGAAAAGGGAATTCCATCAGAAGCAATACCTAACTACTTCAGTGTGCATGGTTTGCGGACACATGGGTCTCTAAATGGGAACCTTGTGACGGAGATTGTTTATGTGCATAGTAAGCTGATGATTGTTGATGACCGAGTGGCTATCATAGGGTCAGCAAACATCAATGACCGCAGCATGCTTGGAGACAGGGACTCAGAAGTAGCAGTAATCATACAAGACAATGAAATGATGGAAGGGAAGATGAATGGAAGACCCTACCAAGTGGGAAAGTTCTCTCACAGTCTACGCTGTCACTTACTAAAAGAACATCTTGGCCTTCTATCAGAAATGACTGCAACACCACTAAATTTCACGGTAGAAGACCCATTGACAATCGCCTTCCACAGTACCGTTTCAAAACTAGCTGAGAAAAACACGCGTATTTTTGAGCGCGTATTTGGGGGAAGAATACTTCCAACAAATGAAGTACAGAACTTTTATAAACTTAAGGAGTGGAAATCACGTTCAGGTGTTGCTGATCAGCATTTGGAGAAAGCTACAGAGGAGTTGCATGAGATTCAGGGAAGAATTGTCCTCTTTCCACAATTCTTCTTGAAAGACTGCTTGAAACCATCTTCCCTTATGGCGAGGATGGGTGAATATTTCAATATTCAACATGAGGGAGAAACACCTACATCAACAAATGAGGTACGGAACTATGAATGTATGGAGTGGCCATTACTTTCATGTGTTGCTTGTCAAGCTTTGGTGGAAGTTATACAGGGGTTTCATGAGCTAGAGATTTATAGATTACAAGTAGCGCGCCGCCGAGCCGAGCGTGACGCAGGGACGAGCAGAGCCGAGCGTGACCCAGAGCCGAGCAGAGCCGAGCGTGACCCAGAGCCGAGCTGTCATGAATGTATGGAGTGGCCATTACTTTCATGTGTTGCTTGTCATGATTTGGTGGAAGCCATAAAGGAGTCGCATGAACTAGGCATTTGTAGATTACAAGTATGGCGCCGCCGAGCCGAGCGTGACGCAGGGCTGAGCAGAGCCTGGCGTGACCCAGAGCTGAGCTTTCATGAATGTATGGAGTGGCCATTACTTTCTTATCATTATTTGGTGGGAACTATAAGGGAGTTGCATCGGATTTATAGATTACCAGAAGTTCCCCGCTTAGCCGAGCGTGACGCAGAGCCGAGCCTTGATGAACTTATGGAGTGGCTATTACGTCCACGTCAAGCTCATATTGATTCGGTGGAAGCTGTACGGGCTCTGCTTAATAGACTTGCGGGTGAGCGCGCCGCCGAGCCGAGCGTGACGCAGAAAAAAGAATGAGAAAGAAATGGCCTCTCAAAATCCTTCCCGCCCCCAGTATTTCGCGTGGCCATTTCTTTCTTACGTTTTTTTTCCCCGCGTCACGCGCGACGGACTAAGCGAAACAAGGACGCCTTCATTGCGTTCTGAACAAATGAACGTTCGGCCATGCATTAATTTCAAGGAAACCCTGACAGGCTGGATGCAAAAAAGCAACTCGATTAAATTTTTCGTTTTCATCCCTTTTGTGTAAAACTGCAAATATCCAGCTATCTGCCTAGAAGTACTAATTAAGAAATCACTACAAACTTTACTCACGGCAAGACAATGTTATCTAACAGCAAAACAAAATTAAATCACGGCAGAACATAGCCTGCCAAAACATCCGTCATCAGTATGGAATTTCTGTCGCTAAGTCGCAGACGTTCCTCCGGGCGAAACGTCCCCAGCGGCGAAGAGTGAGGAGAAACGGATGTTTTCGAAGGCTAGGCAGAACACCAACTCGCGGCAAAACAGAATTTACTCACGGCAAAACAAAGAAAACGAGTTTGTGAACGATTGTTATTTGCATTTAAAGTGGTACGCCGCGTGACAGTAACACACCGCTCGCTAGGAAACCGCCAGTGCAGTGCAGTTTCCCTTATCTGCGAATTATGTCGAATGTCGGTCGTTTCGCCTACAAGTCGATTCGCCTACTGATCGAATTCGTTTCGCCTACACGAAGCTAACCTCGTTTATGAGTTGATAATTGAAAAGAATTTTTACTTTCAAACAAGGTTAGTTGGGCTACTTTAAATACGCACAAAAGAATTTTAAATTGGCAGCCATTTATTAATAGGGTCTATAAAAGGGCAGTGAATTACAGACCGAGCAGTTTGTCCGACTTCTCACGTGCCTATCGTTACTAGGAACTAAAAGAGATGCAAATACGAATGCTTTAGATTAAGAAACGTACCTTTACCACAGCCTTTGCAAAAGTTGGCATTTTGATCGACTGACGAATACTGCTCCATTTCTATCGAGCCGTGAAAAATGAAACATTGATCGCGAAAAAATAATTTAGTTTCAGAGCTGATTAACGAAAAAAACTAATTGTTTCTCTAAATAGAAACAAAAATGTGAATCGAAAAATATAACTTAACCCGGCGTAGCTAATCGAACAAAATTGAACGGATTTTAATCGAACTCAGGATTGAGTTCGACTGGGTCGGTAATCGAACGTAACCAAACTCACAAAAAAATTTGGGGTAATCGAATAGTGGCGACAGTTTGGTTCGCTCAATAATTAAAAGCACGACAACATTTTGTGTCTGATAGGATGGCTTTGTAGCTGTACCAGAATTTGCGCTCTATTCCCGGGTCAATTGCATCCGGTCTCCTAATTGCCGAGCCGGGAATCGAACGTGTTTCACGGATTCTGTTCGATTTCCGAACCCAGTTGAACTCAGTCCATCGGATTGAGTTCGATTGGGTTCGATTAAGTTAATCGAACTCACAGAAAATTTCCTTGTTCGATTATGTTCTATCACCTAATCAATCAAACTCAATCTATGGATTGAGTTCGATTAACTTCGATTGGGTTCGATTACCGAACGTTCGATTAGCTACGCCGGGAACTTAAATATTGGAGACGAACGAAAAACAACTTATTCGAAGAACATAGACGATTTCGAGTCGCTCACCGCCAATTGAAAACACTGTAAATTTCAGGGAGGACGAAATACCTTTGACGTCCTTTTAATTTCATGTACCAAGAAACTTTCGTTGATACAAACTTTGTACTCCAGTGGTGATTTAAAATGAAAACGAGTTTAAATCGACGGTTTTCGAGTCTCCCGAGTTCGCCCAGAAGAACTGGCAGGTATATTTTGCAGGTTCTAGGTTGCAGCCTGAAAAATCAACTTTTGAGTCTCGGATAGCCTACATAGCACTCCGGTTAGCATAAATCAGCTTAGGTTGCTTGCGGTTAGCCTTTGTATTGGAGTTTATTCAACTTCAATTCGAATGAACAGCTCATTTCGACCTGCAACCTGCAACCTGCAAAATATACATGCTGCAGAAAAACGCATTTTTTAACTGGCGTACGTGCATTTGTCGATACTCTACCGAGTATCAGTCGATACTCGATCGATATATCGGTCGAGTATCGACCGACACTTGACCGACAATCGACCGATATATAACCGATAGTTGACCGATATAGTATCGTGGTCGATACGTCGACCGACATTAAGTGGACTATCGGTCGATACTCCACCAGCACTAGATCGAGTATCGGTCGAGTATCTACCGATATATCAACCGATATATCGATCGATACATCGGTCGAGGCCCCCCATAAGTACCTAGTCGCGGTTGTGATTTTTTTTACCGAGAGTGACAGGAGTTTTTAAAAGGATCTGATCGTATCTGAGGATGACCGAAGTTTTCCGAGCTAGGAATATTTTTGAGTTCAGTTTAAACATTGGTTACATCCGATAATCTGATCATTGGAAACAGTTTCTTAACCACAAAAATAGACAGTTATTAGCGATTATTACTTAGAGAAATGTTTTTTGTACAGCTGTGAGTGGAATCGAATTGTGGAGCAGCTTATCAGCTTTGCGACAAGTAACAACTCTAAGAGATTATTTCCAAACTGAAATAACTATATGTCGCCACAGTTTTGCCTTAATTTACATGGCATCCTTGAAAAGCAGCTTCTTTTACATTTTAATGTAATCCTCTTATAATTTTAGCTCTTATATATACCGAGTTAGTTACTGAGTATGTTTTTTAAAAGGATCTGATCGTATCTGAGGATGACCGAAGTTTTCCGAGCTAGGAATATTTTTGAGTCCACTTTGAACATTAGTTACATCCGATGATCTGATCATTGGAAACAGTTTGTTAACCACAAAAATAGACAGTATTAGCGATTATTACACATCCCCTTGCTTATTACTTAGAGAAATGTTTTTTGTACAGCTGTGAGTGGAATCGATTAGTGAAGCAGCTTATCAGCTTTGCGACAAGCAACAACTCTAAGAGATTATTTCAAAACTGAAATAACTATATGTCGCCACAATTTTGCCTTGAATTTACATGGCATCCTTGAAAAGCAGCTTCTTTTACATTTTAATGTAATCCTCTTGTAATTTTAGCTCTTATATATACCGAGTTAGTTACTGAGTGTGTTTAAGCATTGTATAGCAGAAGGAATTTTACCGTCAAGTTAAATAAAGTTATCTTGAGTTATCTTACATGTACCGTATGTGCATACACCCTCCGGAGGGAGGAGGGGAGGGGTTGCTCCATCATATAGCCTCTACTAAGAAAATTACCAATTTGTCAATACCCAAAGCTCGGTACTCAACAGGCCTCCAGATTGGAGGTTTTTGTCCATCATAGGGTAGGCAGTTTTAGGTTTCAACCCCCAGTAACACTTTTACAGCAAGACATGGGTCGAGTGCCTGCTGCCTTCTGTCTGCTTCCCACATAATTTATATAATTAAATTACCAAAAGAAACTTGCCACCTTCTTGCCTCTCAAACGAGTTGTACCAGCAAACCCTTAAACACTGACTAAATTCGCTAACAAATTCGAAGCTAAAGATTTGAAAATCTTATCCCATAAAAGAGAGTCAACAGGCTTTGGAAATTCAGCAGCTTAGCTAAGGTAGAGTCGCAATCGGACAAAATGGAGCTTATCCAAGAGCATGTAGCATGAAACAATTTGCTGTATTGCTTTTCCATCTGGTTAGGATGGTAATCTAACACCAAGTGGTCCCCTTCCCTTTTGAAGGATTTTGCCTTAACAGTTATATTGTTCCCCTCCTGGGTGGAGAGAGGTCTGTTGGAGTTGACTGTCCTGCACAGGAACACAAATAATTCATTTATTAACCAAGCTTGTTCGGTCAGGATTTTATGTTTATGGATCTCGACTGTGTCTCACTCGAACACAAACAAATCATTTATTAACCAAGCTTGTTTGCTCAAGATTTTTTTTGCTTATGGATCTCGACTGCGTCTCAGTCCATAAAGACGCCAAAATACAAAATCGTTGTCAAAATCCAGACACGCTTGGTCAGTAACCCATATCCTGGACTCCCCTTATGCAGCTTACAAGGCCCCTGTTCTATCCCACTGAGTCACAGCTGACAATTATGTTGAGCATTTCAAAATTCTTACTTGTAATTGCATAAGCAGACGCCTTTTCCACTGTCTTGATTACCAGCATCATTGATCAAGTCACTGACCTGATCACCATCATCATCATATCAAATCCTTTTAGATCCCGAGTACATCTGAGGAATAGGGCGGAAAAGGTTTGAGATTTTGCTATAGCTTTTCGGGGTCAATGCTTTTTGGGACTTTCAAGAAATGGGCTCCAGACCCTTAAATCAATAACCTGTCTCAGACCTGCCTTATAATTAATGTTAAAGGCATTGTGAAGGGCTTTTGTTGATGTTCTTATTGATAATGATGAAAAGGTAGTTTCTTCTAAAAACATACACAATTCAAGACTAGGGTGCAAAATCCATACCCTATTTGAGACCAATATGGCCAAAGTCGATAACCTATTTCTGACCAAAACGGCCAAAAAACCACACCCTTTGGGTATAGTTTAGACCAGCAGATGCCTTTTCTACTGTCTTGATTACCAGCTTCATCGATCACGTCACTAACCTGATCATCATCATCATCATCAGATCCTTTTAGATCCCCATGTATATACAAGGAATAGGGCGGAAAATCTACAATAAAAACACTACGCGTACCCTGAGACATGTCGACTACTAACCTTGTCTGAAAAATTTATTGCCCTTCTCAGTGCACTATACCTCTCTCCCTCTCTCTCCTGTCAATCCGAATGACCAGTTACTTGGGCTGCTTACTATTCTACAGGCGAAATTCTGTACTGCTTGCAGTTTGTCTATATTGCAACTTGGAGAGTTTGACCACACATCTGAACGGTCAAACATTTTACTAAACACCAGGACATGAGGAGTGTGTCTATGAGAAAACCAGGCAGGAGGTGATACAGCTCAAATCACCAATTTCGCTCAAGCTTGGCACAAATGTTGGGTTTGGTGAGTGAATGATTGTGGCAAAATAGTAGGTCAAAATATTTTATTCCCCTCAAGTTAGGAGGACCCCTTGCAAAAATGGCCATTTGACACTAATTTATGCTTGTTTAATTCACCATCTTTAGGTCTAGTATTCCTACAACAAGATAAGCCACGTGAAAATGAGATCCACTGGATCATGTTGTACAGTCTAAAAGCACAGATATTCATTTCAACTGGGCAATTTGATTTCTCTCCGTGACTTCATCTTAAGCAAGGTGCATATTTCGTAGTGTTGTGAATAGCCTTTAATTGATGGCAAATAGCTGCAATGGGCATAGCCAAATACACATTATTCTAACATGCATAGTGAGAGAAATCAAAAAAGTTTCCAAAAAAGCCTTAAAATGTTTGGGGACTTCAATATTTTTTTCTGTGATGGCGTATTGTTTACATAGATCTTTACGATTTATGGCCATGTCATGAACATCCATTTAAACAGAAAAGCCATTTCTCTGTCTGAACCTAACTCGAAATCAACAAGAAATACCTAGCTAAGCATTTTCCTATCGATTACGAGAATAAAATCGGCATAAAGAAGCGCTTGAGACACTTCTTTCAAATATTTTTGGAGCTATATCGCCTGGCTATATCTGGGGGCGAGTTGTCTGACATACCTTGAGGCATTCTCACGATATCTATAGAAATACCGAAAGAAGAAGAAGATTATTTTTGCAGCTTTGTTTTTCGAGCAGCGTAGTATACAGTCGAGTTTTCCCTTGTCTTCTTCTTAGTAGTTGAGAAATCAAAACATTAAAACTTGCTAAAATGGCGTTTATAGAAAACAACAAAGACACTACTTTTCATGAGGTTTGTATACATTAATAGCTGTTTTTGTACATTTTAACCATTTTATCGATCTTAAGATAAATTTCCGTAGAAATCGTTATAATTTGGCTTCCAGTAGGCTGTTGTGATTCTGGGCGCTCTGTGGTTAAACTCATATTTGTGATAATGTCAACGAAGGGGAAATTCTACGAAACCGTTAGAAATGCAACTCATGGAAAGGAATGTTACGTAAACCAGGGAACAAGGAAAACGTTTCTGACCGTCGCGGCGAGGTTTTTCATTGTCTTGATCGTCAGTAAGTTTGCAGAAAGATGACCGAGAAATAAAAGGAGAGCGATGTGCTGGAGTTTGGGCGACTTTTCTTCCATGGTACGTAAACGATTTACTTAAACATTACTTTATTGTGGTTAAGGAGGAGCAAATCTTTGTAATGAGTGGTTACTTAAAGCCGATTTTGAGCCACCTGTCAAATTATCGTACCTCATTGCCAATTTTCTCGCTAACTTTTTTTCGTCACTTTCATTATCTGAATCAGTCTCGTACTTATCTGGTTGCTGTATGAGTCCTGTATCTTGTTGTTGGCCTAAGTTTCAATCCATTTTCAATCCTTGCAATCCATTGCAATAGACGACGGGAAACAATATCAATGCCAAAATATAGTCTTGCTACGCGGGATGACGTAGTCAGTCAGCGTCTTAAATTCGGGAGCGCATTCCTTTCGTTTTCTTGGGAGTCGAAAATTGTCTTGTTTTTTTAACTTTCCGGTATCCCGTGCCCGTCCCGAAAAATTGTGTGATTTTTATTGGCTGCATCTTCAAATCACGTGCAAGTCAGGTTGGATTGCACAAGCAGATAAAAGATACTGCGTCAGGGAAAGATACTGCGTCAGGGAAAAGCAGGAGTACTCAGTGGAGCCGATATTCAAAAAAGCCGTTCCTCAGGCATCGTGATGCTGGCTGGGAAGTATGGCATCTTACATAAAATTTGGCTGGGAATTAGTTAAGGATAATAGCTTGCTGCCGATTTTTTCTACCTAAATTATTTTTGGCTGGGAGATGACACACAACGCCCACTTCCTGGCTCACACGATCTTTTTTATCGCTTTGCTGGGAAAAAACTTCAAGCAGTTAACGCCCAGTACAACGCCGATCATATGACGTGCGGATGACATCTGAAACTGTTTTCATCCTACATTGCTGGTAGAAAGCAATGGGAAATAAAATATTCCTGGCTGGGATTATGGTCCTCAATGAATTTGCTTGCTGGCAAAAGGGATCCTTTGGACTTTGTCTTGCTGGCTCTGAGGAACGGCTATTTTTTTTCCCGCGAAAGTTAATTATCAACCATAAACGGCTTCAAAGTTGCCAGTTTGTTGCTCGGAAACGAATAAACCTTATTTGAAAAATTGGTCGTTGAGCACTCCTGGAAAAGTAAGCTTACAGCGTCGAGGAGGACGAAGACTCAAGGCGGTTCTCCTGATCTAACGGCGCACGACTTGGCCTCGGGCGACTGAAAATATTGTCTAGGTGGCCCAGCCGGGCGACTTGCTGGTGTTGGTTTCTTGGTTCTGTTGATTTACGGTCAAAAAGCTAAGAATGTCTAGAATTTATTACTTGCGAAATCGTAGCTCGCTCAGTGGCTTCGCGGCCTAAAAAAGAACACCCCGCTCGCTAAGAAACTTCTGAGTTCGACTTGTAAGTAGCAATATGTAGCATGTCTATCAAAAAGCTTTAAGAAAATGTTTTTAAATCGGGCAGCGGGCGCGCGTTGATGTCCAAAGGTCGTTTCACGTGAATTCACGTGTAACATAATCCTTGACTAAGAACGTGACAAGCCGCACAGTTTTTTGATAGAAACAGCTTTTCATAATAACATTGAAATTTTTTCTTCAAATTAGGATGGTTCATTAGTTAGTTTTTCAAAGCAAATTGTTACTTTTGCTCTGACAGGCGTAAAGTACGGTCGGCGACAAAAAACAATAGTTTTGTATTTTGAAAAATCGCTGAATAAATATGGGAGTCGCTCTGTTATGTTACCGTATGTATTCGATTAACCGCCCTGGGCGCTTATTAAATTTTTGGACCTTGAGAGTGGGCGCTTATTCGACGCTGGGCGCTTATTAAATTTTCACCATTTTCAGCAAGTGAAGTATGTTTATGTTGCAACAACACAACAAAAAGCTAATTAAAAAACGCGAAGAAGTAACAAGCAAGGTTTCTGTAAAATACTCTGAAGAAAACTCCGTCCTTGGGGAGGTCTCTTATTAGAATTTATTCACTCAAGTGGGTGGGGTGGGGGTGAGCGCTTATTTGAGTTTGATTGTGAGGAGGAGGGGTGGGCGCTTATTCGAGGCTGGGCGCTTATTAACTTTTTCTGCCTTTGGGATAGGCGCTTGTTCGAGGTGGGCGCTAATTCGAGGTTGGGCGCTTATTCGAATAAATACGGTAATTAAATATTTTTACCTTTTTTTTTTTACTGCTGTGTCTGCGAGGCTAAAACATAACTAATTTTGTTATTCCAGTAAAAGACGATGTATAAAAAAGAAAAGAGACGACTATTATTGTGATTGTTTCAGGATCGGGTATAAATCTATAAAATCCCGAATTGTCTTTCGTGTCGTGACAAGGCATTACGTATCACGTACTAAAAATAAATACTCAAAGGCTAACCGAATCCACAAAAGCTCATTTGTCCTGAACATTTCACCGATAATATAGAAAGAAAATACTTCCGTTCTGCGCTTAAACGACGACTTTACAACAAAATGATCTATTCAAAAGAGATAATAGCTTTGGGGCGGCCACTTCCTTATAAGAGGCTAATGGGGATGTGCAGCTGGATAGTGGGGTTGCATTTTCAAAAGAGTTACTAGAATGGGGTCGCACATTATCGGATTTTCGGGGTTAGAGAGTTGTTCATATTTACGGTTAGCAAACGTACCAGGATATTTGTGCTGTAGGTGAAAAGTAAAGTGTTCTTCATTCAATTTATTAAAAAATGGGTCAATTCATTTTTTGATGACCTATTTAAAGGATTGATAAGGTAGATACATAAATAGAAAGTGACTAAGTTGGGATCGCAAAAATTACGTATTTGCCCAAAAGTGACTAATATGGGGTCTACAAAGACTATAATGCGGTATGGGCTCTGAGAGGCCAGCGGCACATACGTAGCAAAAATTAACCCAAGTAACCCCCAAGGGGGCGCCGCGGTTTCGTTGAAATCATAACAGTCTTCCTGGAAAGCTCCACGGGATCTCAGTCAATCTTAATGAGCGGATTTTCTTTTCAACGTAAATCAAAATGATTAGTAGATTAGACCCACAATTTTTTTTTTTTTTACAAAAAATACATAAACAGACCAGAATCTTACTTTTCCATTTAAAAAACAAGAAATATTCGACGGCGTTGCCCATGTTTCTCATATGCCGCGAAAACTTACTTTCATATGACAACATGCGGGTATTTTTTTTTCGCACGCTTAGGAGGTCAAAGGGATGTGATTTTTTCATGAAAAAAATGTGCACTTGACTTGTTAAGGAAATAATTTGATTAATTTTTAATAATTAACTAACAGCTCACTGATTTATTAATTTGGGCGACCAACTTGGAGGCCCGGGCACCCCAGCTAAAATGCTTGGGGAACCCGAAGGGCTCCCTGAAATTTGTGGTTGTGGATAGTCTTATCAGTGCCGCGAAAGTGTGTGATTGTGTGATTTCTGCATGGTGTTGACAGGTATGTGATCGCGTTGTTGAACTGCGGTTTCGCCAAAATATTCTGTGCCAGCCATTAATATTGTTTCGTCGGTGTTTAGCTCCCGGGGGGGGCACTTAAGGAATTTCTGGGTGGGGATGTGCCGCTGGGAGCCTGGAACCCTTAACCTTTACCAGAGCTAGTTCAGCTGAATTTTGCTACCCTATACTAGAGTAAACTCCCCAAATCCCCCTATCCTAGAGTAGCTGTGTACCTGGTCTAGGTAAAATCTTCAACCAACTGATCAGTTTCCTGAAAAATGATACCCTATTCTAGACTCAAACGCTCTGATTTATATACCCTATCCTAGAGTAAACTGCTTGAAAACCATACCCTTCACAGCGGCACATACCTATATTGCCCATATATGGCAGTACCCCCGGGTTTAGCTTAGCTGATTGTACCTTGGAAAAGCAACTCTAGACTCAGGAAAATTGGATCTAGGTCTAGTTTCAGCGGTCTGTAATGGCATTGCACCATAGGCCAGTTTTTGCAGATAAGAAGGTGATAATTTGTGCATTATGTTTCATTCAGTTTGTTGTCTATTCCATGCGGAATCCTGTTGTTTATCGGACCGCGAAAAAAAGTAGTGTTTTGCTAACTATTTAAGTTGTTAATGTAAGCCTTAACCAGGCACGCTTTCGCTGCAGTTCACTCAACTTAAAAATTTCTAGACTGAAATGACACCGGTTTGAAACTTTGCGAAGTCAGTTTACTGAATAAATGTTCTAAAATTTGTGTCATTTTAAATTTGGACTCGTTGAAATGCTTCTAGGGATCATTAACTTACTGCCAGATAAAGGCTTTTACTGATCGGTCTTTGAATGAGTTTTGTTGTTTTAAATTACCATGTAGTAGAATGAGTTGATATTTTTGCTAACCCGGTTTTCAAAAATCCAGGTATATATTATATTTTGTTAATTTTCTCCTGCTGTCGTCTCTCCCGGATTATTGATAGCCCAATCTCTATACTGCTTTCTCTTTTGTTTGGCCAAATCACAGGGAACAATTAAATGTGTTTACCTGTGTTCCTGAGTCTTTATGAGTCGTTTTGGAAGGGATCTGAATCCGATCAGAGACGGTTAACATTGCTGCACTGGTATTAATGAATAATAAGTATATTTAATAGGACTACATGCTGTCCAATTTGGAAATAATCGGATGAAAAAAATTCCGAGGACAGCCAAAATTGGACGTGGCCGTTGGCCGAGTGCAATTTGGCCGTCAGAGGAATTTTTTGAATTCAATTATTTCCAAATTGGACTAGCAGGTATTCCTCTTACTTATTAATTATATAGCTGGTTAGTTAAGCCAGATTTTTTAGCGTGTCACAGACGCGAAATATTGTACACTTGAACCCGTCCGCTAGTAGTTGAAACAAAAACACACCGGAGGATCTAAAAACTTTTATAGTGTCATTCAACTTATTCTTTACAAAAAAACGAAAGTAGAACTAGTATTGCTCTTTCAAACTTTGGCATTTTGTTGCCAATTATATTAAAATTTTGAAAGCTCCTTCAATGATCTGAATGATACGGTGCTGCAGATAAAAACCGCAATTTCGAGTTCAAAGAGGACAAAGCAACAACGCGAATACTCTCCGACGCTCTAGATCTCTGTCGCCCTCTTCCATGTTGAGTGTCGCAGGCCTGCCGCCTAGTCTCTCTTTTTCTCTGTCTTTCTCTTGCTCTATATTCCAAATTTGTGGACATGACAATTAATCTAAGCTTAATACTTTATACAACACGAATACAAAAACAATTTCCGCTTTCCTTTTTCGTCTTTATTGACTCTTTAGCTGCCTCTGTTGTGGCTATGCGATTTCCTGCCAAAATAACCTCGAGTTGCACTTGGGTTGCCATACTTGTTGGTAGAGTTATTTTACATTGGTAGGCTTGTGGTACAGACGGACGGTCTCTCGGGCCGTCGGTGTACTGTCACGTGATTACCAAATTTTCTCGGACGGTAGAAGACCACATTTTCTTACCCATGGTGCTCCGATGCGCGCGCTTCGCGCGAGAGAGCTCCGCTTTTAACCCTGCCGAATTACACTTATTGCCTATTTCCCTTTCGTAATCGTTCTTTGCCATTTTTCATGGTCGATGCCACCATTGGTAACCACGCCTTTCGTCATGATGGATGTAATACTGTATATTCCCTGGATTAAGTTATAATAAGGAAAATATTACGTTTTTGAATTAATAGTCTGTGAAATAACGACGTTGACGACCAAATTAAATCTACGTTAAAAGTAATGGAAAGGGCTAGAGTCACCTGTTATTGATGTATCAGTTAAGTAAAACAGTTTGTTAGTCTATTTATTTAAATTTTTTGGGAAATTTAGCGGTCGGTGCATCCTCGGAGACCCAGGGGCAGATAGTGGGGGCGAGGGAAAGTCTAAAAGGGCGGGAAAATATGGCACGAACAAAAGTAAAGAACGGCGAGAAGAGCCCCTGGGGACAATGTCTTACCAGACCAGTTCCAAACGGTCGCCGCCGTTCTGCCTTCTGATTGGGCAGAAAAACACAAAAGTTTTCTGGCACCAATCAGAAGTCAGAACGGCGGCGATCGTTTGGAACTGGTCTGGTAAGGCATTGTCCCCAGGGGCTCTTCTCGCCGTTCTTTACTTTTCTTCGTGCCATATTTTTCCGCCCGTTTAGACTTTCTCTCGGCCCCACTATCTGCCCCTGGGTCTTCATGGATGCGGTCGGTGTGGTAGTGTAGCCGAGTGGTAAGGAAGAGAGATAAGGATGTGAAAGGTCCGAGCTCGAGGTCCGGGTTCGACCCTGCATTGCGATTTTCTTTCTTTTTAATAGAAACACTCTCAATGACTGGTCAGCAATTTTCTATAAGCGTCTTAAAAATGTCAGCGACAGTTTACGAAACGGACAACTGCTTCGACGTCAGTACCTAACCGAAACTACTTAAAAATCATTAACCGGACAATTACTCCTGTTGGTTTGCAGAACTAGACAAGTAATTTGCAGGTGATTGAACACTGCGAATTCACTTTTTGGTGATTTGTATATTGAAAAATAGAACAATTACTGGAAATCTCAGTATCATTACTTGTTGTAGACCTGAGTTTTTAGAAAAATTTCAGCGTCGTCGTACAGAAGAGATCTCAGTTCATTGCGAGAATAGGGACAAATGTCGCATTTTTTGTACTGTATAGTAAGAGTTTTTTTACTTTCAGTTTTTTCTTGTAAATCGGGTCATATCTATTAAAAAAAGGACGCTTGAGTCGGTACCGCATCATATCTTTCCCTGGCACCCGCCCATCCATCTGTGCTTCAAAGGGCCGCAGTCCGCGCTGGTTCATTTGCACAGCCCTTTCGCTTTTTGTTTCAGTCCAGCATTTACTGCCTCTACTCTTACATTCAAGTAATTTGTGTTTAGATCATCCGTTCTGGCACATGTCCTCTAAGATGAGGCTCTATCCTTTATTTCAGTTTCTTGGTTTGGTATAGCGATTTTTCCCTGAAACAACAAAAATAGGTTTACGCTAGTAAATAGGATACAAAGGGACCCTTGGCTCCTAATAAGCTACTTTCATGGCTTTCATATTCATGTTCATCTTCAAAAACAAATTGAAACAAAGTTTAAGGAAAAAGAGCTCGTCTTCCCTTATTCTTACCGCTGGTGTCTTACGGCGAAACTGATGAACTGCTTTTGGTAGGCTTTGCAATGTTTTAGTGACCTCCATCAGCTTGGTTTGTACCTCATCTTCCTCCTCAGGGGTATCCTCGTCTGAGGGGGCGGTATTCTTATCAGGCTCCTTCCTTACTGTATTTTGTTTACCAGAAAAATAGCGATGTATCAAATTTTTGATAACGACACGTCGCTAAACAGAAAACAAAAACAAACAAAGCGTGGTTAATCAAACTGTTAGTCAAACAACTCTTTTACTAGTTCGACTAAATATCATGATAACTAAGTTCAAAGTGTTAAGTTCAGGACCTTCAATATGCAGGCCATCTACTCTATGCATGGTATTCAGGTACAGAACCGAGAAATAAATAGCACTCACTGTTACTTCAAAAAATAAAAAAAATAAAATAAAATAAAAATAAGGAGAATGTAAAAGACAAAAGAATGAGAAAGCAAAGGATGCAAAATAGTTACCTTGTAACGACTTGTCGAACATGGCTTACGTTTATAGGGAAATTTTTAAAAACGATGTTAATAATTGGCGAGCTTAACTATTTGTTACTAACGCTTCCTCTTCCATGCCTGTCTCCCATGCTTCCTTTCTAATTCTTTATAGATTATTCGCTGAAGAATAATGCCCTTATGTGAAAAAGCTTTTGAAATTTGAAAGCCTTATATAGTTTCGCTCGTCCTCGACTGAGAACACTGCACTGTCTAGCTAAGTTATTAAATGATCACCTACCGATTTATGACACGACTCATTTTTTCAAATGAGAATTTGCCGATCAAAATTTTAAAAAGCTCGCTTTATTGCAGTGTCAATGTATTGAGCACGAAAGTACAATTTGACAACTGTATTTTACGTTTCCATACTGGAGATAGGACTGCCATTTTACGTGGTCATCGTTCGAGCCACGCAAAGGACCAGCCATTTGCAAAGCAAAGGCAAAACATTTATTTCGCAGTATCTTGTGGACCCTGTCAGCTATACTGGCCAGACCCTAAGTTTCGAAACCGCGACACTCTTGCTCTGCAGTCGAGCGCTCTACTGACTGAGCTAGTCCTGCTGCTTTGTTTTAGACTTACCACTTCTAAAAGGGAGTTTTCAAGGAGAACCCCAGAAATTTTATAGGAGAGCCTGCTTTCTGCCCTCCTGGTCGAAGGTACATTTTCTCTGAGACCGGCGCTTTTATTGAGGTTGATTTACTTTGGTTATCACTATTCTTACTTATATGACGAGAATAAAGGTTCATTCTAATTTTCTAAAAATTGATATACTTACCCTTTTCTGATTAGTTTTAACTGTATCTGATGTAATTTCTTCTGCTTTGATACAACCAAGACACTAAAAAAGGAATACAAAAGACTCTAAGGATAATACCATGAAAACAGCGTTTGAAGTAGCCAAACAACGGCAACAAAAACGACGACAGCAAGCGAAAGAAAACGCGCGTTTTTATTTCAGGCCAAGTATGCAACCTATCCGGATAGTTTCAGGCATAAAGCTTGAGAAACTATTTGTACGAGAATAAAAACCAAAGAAACATACGCATTTACGTCTCCTAACATGTGTCTCGATGATATAGATTATAGATCGATTATCGTAAGAAATATTTAGTAGATTTAAAAACTTGTGACCTTGGTTCGTGTCCATAGTTGTTTTAGTTTTTACCAAAAAATTAATTCCTTTATAATTTCTTAACATTTAAATCATTTTTCATGTGCGTGCAGTGAGGCTTTGCTACTTACTTACTTACTTACTTACTTTTTTAACCCAGTTGTATCTTCTAGCAAGCCAACGGACTGCAGAGGCAATTTTTTCTACTGGTATCAGGTTAAATGGCGGTGGTAGAGGACTGACTTCACTGATGTAATACATCCAGAGACGCGTCCTCGCAAACTTGAATTTAGTGTCCTTCTCTTTCTGAAAGAAAGCAAATATAGACGTATAAAATACTTATAACATCAAGGTAATTTAAGGCAAAGGTCTTCGGATCTAGATGTCGTGTCGATCTCCAACAGGTGTTGTATTAGAAAACTACACTGTGTAATAAAAAAAGGGATTTCGAAGCGACTGAAGTAAATCTCCTTAAAGGTAATATACCTGGTATTATTTATCACACAGTAATAAGCTCAGTTCATTTCAGAAAACTTCACAACGCAAATCACTTTCAAAATAAGAACGCGTAAAGTTTTGGCGTGGGCTGAACTCCGGCCAAAGTTTTAACCTCTGACGTACAAGACCACTGAGAATTCCTAGACAATGAAACATCAGCCCCAGACTTTTTCAGTTGCAGTTCGTTTTTCCCTCGCGCGCATTTTGAGACAAGTTTAGTGACGACCAGTGTCTATGGTTAGGAAATATGACGTCACAAATAGCGGATGGTCAAGTCATTTTTTGATGAAAATCATGTTTTCAACTTCTTTCAACGATAAAAGTAAAGGTTGTGACCGGATAAAATGAAGCAAAGCATTTATTCGTCTGTTATTTACTAGCGGGTCAAGCACAACACCAGGTCAACATCAGCAGTGACAAGCTGATGCTTTGTTAGCTGTTGCCTTATGTAATTATAACTGTTAAGAATTTTGACTTCTTAATCTCATTCCCAGACCCCTTGTAAATTTTGTGTAAATAGTCTCGTCATAATCACTTTAGAACACTTTTGAAAATGGTTGTTGACTAGCATACGATACGTCACTTATCAAAATACGAAATTTCACAACGTTTATCACCGCTGCTGGTGTTTCATTTTTGTTTAAACTACGATGGCCGAAAAACAAAAGTCTTCATGATATGTTTTCCTCATCCTTTCGTAAGCTAACCACATTTTTCTTTATTATTAATTATTATTTCCAGGGTTGCAATATTTACTTATGCTATGTACGTACGTGTTCCTGTGATATTACATGCAAACTTCTCCTTTTATGGCTGAGAACACGTGGAAAGGGATGTTGGCGCAATATCAATTATACTGTTCTTGTGTGACCCATCCATTGGCACGTTAGTTTGTATGCGTTTACAATGAATGATTTTCCAGTAATCGGATATCCAGGTTTTGCGCACAGGATTCTGGGATCGCCTGGGGGCAAACGTTGCGAGTCGCTACAAAGAAATGTATGGCGTGGAGTTGTTTCTCCGTTAAAAGCAGTGTCTTTGGACATAGAATGCCGCATTTTGCCGTGATTTTATGAGAAACGGAGGTGACTAATGTTGGTGCGTTGAAATTTCAAGTTTCTATGTGATTAATGCGATAAATTCTATCGATAAACACTCCTTGAGTGAGGTTGAGTTTGAAATTTTTGTTTACTGAATTTACACAGACATGAAGAATTCGAAGAAAAGGTCTCGAAATATATAGTGCAAATTTAGGTATACATGTAGGGGGATTGGCTCATTTAAGCGTTTAAGTTATAATTACGTGTGGTGATATTTACGACGAGTGTAGCTACGCTCGGCCGCGATCAGCGCTGTGCGGCGCTTTGCGGGTTGTGACAAGTCAACGATCGTAGGTATGTAATTGGCCATAAAAATAGAAAATCCTCCTCTACTTTGGTATAAACAAAGTGACATCTACAAAATATTTCATGGAAAGTACATGGTATTTAACCATTAGTAGATGAGGCAGAAATCGTACAAACCAGTAAGATTTCCGATACAAAAGCGGTGAGTGTGAAAATAAATACCAAGTTACGTTGATGTGCCAAATTCAGAGATTCTATATCTTCCCTCAAAATGATTGGAAAAGGCATTAGAACTCATCGGTTCTCTGGATCATGACAAAAAATTTCGCTTGTGTTTTTTTGGCGAGAAGAAATCAATATACTAATGAGCGGAAGATGTTTTTGTTTTTTAAATTTAATACATATCAAATTCGACAATACATAAGCTTACCTTCGATCGTTGTCACAAGACGGCACAGCATTGTGATCGCCGCCGAGCGGAGCGTAATTACACTCGTTGTAAATATGAGCACATCTAAGTACAACTGGAAAGGCTTAAATGAGTCCGCATTCCCCGCTCATTTATACCTAAGTTAGTACTATATATTTCGAGACCATTCAGTAAATTCACAGTCGACCTTTCGCAAGAATCAGTGTTTATCGATAGATTTCATCGCATTGATCCCACAAAAACTTACAATTTCTTCGCACCAATAATAGTCACCTCCGCTTCTCATAAAATAACGGTAAAATGTTACATTCTCTGTCCAAAGACACTGCTTTTAAAGGAGAAACAGCTCCACGCCATACAATCCTTTGAAGCGACTTGCAATGTTTGCCCCCTGGCGATCCCATAATCCTGTGCGCATAACTAAGTGTCCGATTACTGGAAAATCATTCATTTTATCATAAACCGATTTGTGTAGACACAACATTGCACTTACATCAACCTTCTTGTATGAGTTATTGAGCATAGCGATCAGTAGGTTTAGTACAACCAGTATGGAAGCGAGGCTGTATACTGCGAACAAAATCTGTCCTGTAACCATGGTAATCTTTGAGTTCTCGTCCGTTTTAAAAGCAAAAAATTCGACATGTCCGAACAATGCCCAAAACAATGTCTCCACGGTTCCCTCGATTCTGTTAAAAGAACACGTACAAGCTATCTGTTAGCTCACATATACACTTAGTGGAAACGCAATTTAACGATCCTCGATAAAACGATGTTCTAGTTTAATAACTATGAATATTCTATGTCCCGGCAAAAGTTACAGTAAAATGTATGAAACAGAACCCCGATACCACGATATTCCCGATATAAGTAGAATTTAGCGGTATTATCAGTACACAGTCACAATTTAAGCAAAACTAAAATACAGTAACATTACATCAATCGAGTAATCTTTAACGTTTCTGTCAACAGCTAGGTGCGGTGATATACGAAAATGATGCTGTGTTCTAAGCCCCTGTTTATCAACTTTATCCTCCTTGCCATTCATTACATAGTTCTCTTAGTTTCAGTATCTTTGACTCTTTCTTGTGATGAAACGTAAACGTTGCAGGGATTTCAAGGCCGATGCCTTTGTTCACGACGATACCATTTAATGAAAATCAATAATCAATAACATCAATAATAGTCAATAAAAATCAATCACAATTAATTGGTTGATATTGAAAATCAATAAAAATCAAAACGGCTTTACATTTTTTTGATTTGTCTTCATGATAAGTGGCTATCAGTGTCTAGTTTAAGGGGAAGCGTTATTTTGCTATCCTTTTGGAATTAGAACTACATTGTCTCTGTTTCCTACCTTTCAAAAGGGTGGGATGTGTTAGTGGCGTTACTGCTCTTGGCAACTTGTGCTGCAGTCAGCTGCACGTACTGAGAGTACAGTTTCCTCATGGCAAGAGCAAACGCGCAAAAATTCAGGGCAAAGAGCGCGAAAAATCTGACAATATCCTTGGTCATCTTCATAAGGGACAGGTGCAGCGGTCCCAAAGTTGAGTCAACTTGGAGAAGATGCGAGGCTTCAAAGAATGTTAGAAGCACTGCAAATGCGTAGAAACTGTTTGATAGCAGCAAGAGATGATACGGGCCCACTGAAGAGGCATCTTGTAGCTTGCTAAGGGACACAGTCCAATCATGAGCATCTCTTGCTAAAGAAGCGTAGCCCACGATCCATAGTACAGCGGCAAGAACGTAGCTAATGATCATGGGTATGACGGCAAGGTGCCACTACTCACCGAGATATCGCTCCATGCCTTGATACATGGCTTGCTTTATTTCTTGGACGATTATACCAACCACCCAGATACCAATAATAACAGCTATATTAATAGATAAATAATAAATCAAGTAAATGAATAAATATTCCTACTGTATAAATGTTTGACTCATTAAGCATAATTTGAGCGAACGTAGCTCTATCGCGAACTGTTCCAAGCTAATCTGGACTTATCCGCGCTCGTGGGCCCAAACAAAATCAATAGTGATTACCAGCTTAGATGGCCTAAATTAGACCCTAATGATGTTCTGAAGCGGTTTTTTAAACAAAAAAGACCCCAATTCAGAGCTAACCCAAAGAAAGTTAGAGAACGTATTTGTTTTGGAATTTGGAACATTTAGTAATAATTCCAAGTTAGTCCTATTATGTGTCGTTTAGTACTCGTAATTCATCACGCAAATGAGGGGTTAAGCAAGTACTAAAACTTCTTTGTCTTTTCAAGTACTGCATTATGTAGAACAAGTGGATTGCAAAACCTATGAAAACACTAAGATTATTCATCTCCGGTACGTATCTTCAAACCAAGGTTGTTTTATACCTTCATAGATCGGCTCTCTTCATTGAGATGACGCCATGATTAATAAATGTCAACAGGAGGGAAGAGTATAAGAATTTGAGGATACTTGGCTCTACAAACTTGTGCGAAGTCGTCAGTGGTCCGGCGCACGATTGCTTAGAGCGTATACAATGAAAAAGCTCTCTGTTGAGAAATCTCGAGAGTGGTTGGTTCCTTGGTTAACGGCTTTCTCGTTTCCCTAACGAGAAAGAGCGATTTTTTAAGGCTGACCTTTACCCATAAACAAAATGTTTCTTCTGATCAGCGTTATGAGGATATCAAACAAAGCAGTTCACCAAGTAGCACTAACCATAACATTTTTTGGTGAACTTTTTCAAGTCCATCCTTTTAATCTGTTGCAACAGACGACGAGAAACACTTTCAATGCAAAATACACTAAACTAGTCTTAACTGAATGACAAAAATGGACCGCTATTTTTGGAATTCAGTTGATGCGACAAAAAATTAGCTTTTTAAAAAGATAGCAAATAGCATGACAAAGTGTCTTTTGTAAAATAAGTAAGATAGCACGCGCGCTCTGATTGGCTGAGAGGAGTGTTTACATGAGAGTATGTAAACATGGTTGTGGCGTCAAGATGTTTTGCTTTTCGCGCGCTAATCACGCAAGCACGAATTTAAAAAAGTTTTCAAGTTCAAAACTCGTCAAGTTTACTTTATTTACCCATTCCTTTGTTGGCTGAAACTTGGAAAATCGTTACCAAGAAAGTGTGTCAATTTTTTTTCGCTTAAGCTGACATTTTAAGCGAGAAAAGTCCGTATTTTGGAAAGCATCTTTTTGCAATACAAGAACCGACTACGCGTGCAAGACTTCGTGGACAAGACTTTGCTACTGGTAAGAATTTCTCTTTTAATCACTGCCATACAAAGAGTTTTGCGTCTTTTCTCGGGAAAGTTACTTTATAAAAGCAATAGAAAACTTTTTCCCTGTGTTTGCATAGCCTGATATAAACACTCGAGGCGTAGGGAGAATTCTCGACTGTTATGCAAACCCTCGTCTTCCGTCTCGAGTTTGCATAACTGTCTCGAATTCTCCCAACCCCTCTCGTGTTTATATCAGGCTATGCAAACACAGAAAACGTTTTCTATTGCTTAAATAGTATAGACTTGTATTCGAACTCACTTAGTGGTGAAAAGCGCAGGAACGAATCATATTTATCTTGGAAGGCCGACATTGCCACCAAAGCTAAGAACCACAGGACAGAAGACGCTTGGCTCATGAGCTTGCACAGAGGAGTCTCTATCTTCTTTCTCAGTCGGTTAGCAGGAGTGAACATGTATCCCAGCATGCAAAGTGGCATAAAAAGGGTATACAATATCATCAGAAGAAATTTCGTTTTGAAGGACAGTTGATTCCATTTTCCCGATCCCTTGTAAGCAATCGCGTTCAGCATAATTTGGCTGTAGGGATGAGCTATAAACTAAAAGACATAAACATATCAGCATTTTCGCTGTTTCGAATTCTATCTTCTTCCTGTGAACTTACAGAAAAATCAATTACCCCCTAGACTGATGTAGGTATTAGGTTTTGTTTTCATATTGACGTACACCACTGAAATGCTTAGGTTCCACAGTAACTGAAACGATTCCTCGAAAGCCATAACGTTAACATTAAAAGTTGATGCTCCTGGAACAATCCTTAATTCTTTATCAAAGTAAAAATTTCCTTTAAGTAGCGCCCCAAATTGAAGCTTAGAAAAATACTACTGTATAGAAATGCAGCCTCTGTTTTATAAATACTGTGTTGTTTCTTTTCAGAAGATTAAGACCCTATTTAGGAAAAGCTTGCAAACTAATATTGCATATCCCGTTCGGCGGTCATGCTCGTACAGGTCATTTGAGGCTCCGTTCACACGTATCCGGATATTTTTGAATACGCAACTTTTTCTTTCCGGATACACTAGCCCGTCCAAACGTATTCGGTGAATCCGGCATACGAATCCGCAACTTTTTGAATCTGCTCTCCTGAGTGGAAATTTTTGATTACGTTATGAATCTTGAATCGTGTGGACGCTAAATTAAATCCAGATACTTTCTTAATCCCGTGACGTAAAAAGATCGAGCCCGGTTCTTTACCGTGAATACTGCTCAAGATGGCAACCTCGTTGCCCGGTTCTCTCTATACTCATCGATGCAAATTCTAAGATGCAAATTTTGCGCGGTTTACGACGCATGCTCTGTTGCCATCTGGATACGTGTCGGATATGTGTGGACGGGGAAATTCGATTTGAATACCGATACGTCTGTACACGGAAATTTTTGAATCTGGAAGGAAAAAGTAGCAGTTTCTTTAAAATATCCGGATACTTGTGGACGGGGATTGTATTCTGCTCCCAAACCTCCACCAGTCAGGCACAAAAATAAAAGGCGAAAAGAAAGAATGTAACATTATTTTAATCTATGAGGACAGAAGACTTTTCTGGTGCTTTTTCTACCTCGCAGGTGAGTCATAGCCTGCGAACACAGACGTATTTCCGGTCGTCCCTTCTCTCCACTCGAACTTTTCGGTTGGTGAGAAAAGCGACGGCCGGAAATACGTCTGCATTCGCAAGGATAGCCGGAAAAAGGTTAAGCGTTTTTGCTGTCCATGCCAAAACTACTTTTACAAAATACTTGGGTAATCATACAAAACTAAACTTAATCATATAATTATTTTTACTCCACTTCTCTGTTCTTTGTTCTTCATTCTTTCTTTTCGGGAATAAAATGTCTCTCTTTCTTGGCAAAAAAAGGTCTCTCCTCTTGGGATAAAAAATAAAAAATAAAAAAAATAGGAAGAAAATTAAAAAGCACTCTTACCTTTCTGTTGCGATATTTTATAGCGAGGTTAAGAACGCGTAATCTTTGTTCCTTTTGTCTCAATTGTATCTTCCCGTTCAATGTTTCAGCTTCCGGTACATCCATAACTGCAGCTATTTCCTCGAGATTTCTACATTCATCTAACAGACTGACTGCAAAATTTTCGCACTGCGCGGAGAGGGCGAAATAGTCCTCACGAAATTCGTTTTCACTGTGTCCTAATTGCTTAAGCTTCCGCCTCAGAACAATCGATCTGTACAAAGGATCGTTCGCTTTATAACTAGAACTCTTTTTGTTCAATTCTTTTCGCTCGCGATTCTCGTGGAGGAAAGTCTGCGAAATGTACAAGGGGCTTGCTACAGCTTTATAAGTGTTAAGCTTGAATAAAGAATCTTTAAGCCTGACCATTGATCCAGTTTCACTTTGAGGTTTCTGCGTATTCGGATGGTCGACTCTGTAACCTCTGCTGACAAAGAATTCAACAATTTCATAGTTCCCGTTGAGCACAGCAAGGACAAGCGGCGTCAAAAATTCCTCGAAATTCTCTGATCTGCTTCGATGTTGTGTTGCTGATAATTTTCCAAGCGTTTTAACAGCTGTATTTTTTCGATGTCTTGAATCGTGTGCTACAAGAATTCTGACATACTGCAACGAGTTATTCCTGACGGCTTCGAACAAGGCCGCCCCGATGTCTGCCTTATTCCGTAACAGCGTTTGAACCATATCAAACGCTTCCCTCTTCACTGCTATTTGTAGCGCTGTTTCCCCGTCGACATTTGTGCAGTCTACATCCACGTGTTTGACATTTATCAGCTCTTCCACTTCGGCTGAATTACCGCTACGAACTGCTTCAAAAAACGCTTTTTTTTTCTTCGGCGAATAAGGGCAGAAGTCAATCTCTTCCATTTCAACGTACTTTGTTCCCAGAGTTTCTGTCTGCGGCCTGGTTTGGTCTGCACATCCTGGCTCATCGATGTCAATATCTCCCCCTCTGTTTTCCATGGTGAACGTATTTGAAAAAGTTTAACAAAATGGTCGGCGCAATTGTCAGCCCATGGTTCAGTACGTCGATGAGAAATGTGTCATACGGTTGACTTCTTATTAAAAATTGAATATGTTTGTGTACAGAGGCAATATCTATCGTAATTAATCAACCCTAACAGGAACTCTGTTTAAAATCACTTAAGTATAGCAAAACACAGACATTAAGGTGACTGTGCACATTCCTCAACAGAAATAAAATTACTTGAGGGACTTTTAACTGATTGAAGCTAGGTCAACTGACACCCTGAGATACCCAGTGATCGCCACTAACCCTGTGGGAATTTTTGAGCTACAAATTGAGAGGTCGGTGTGTGCGCCAATGGAAAATTAGTGTGAGGAGTTTTGTGTAGTGTTAAAAAAATTCTGCATTTACGATTTTGCATTCCGTTGGAGGTATGTTTTATGGCGCTTACTTGAGAGAGTTGTAGGTTACAATAACAAAATGCATAGGAATGGAGTAAAAAGAGCAGTAAGGAAACCGAGGAACATTCGGCGATCATCATAGATAGTAGATGAGTAACTGTCTCTGAACTGTATTGTATACTCAAATATATTTCAATAGGAATAAACACGGAAACATGGTGCGCGACAAAGTGAAGGATGAAGGATAAACAAAGTTGTGAAACCCCCTAAGAACGCGTTCTTTTTGGCTGCTGGTTGAGATCTTGAATGAAAAATCATCCCATTTTCCTCGTAGCAATAGGTTTGGTTTTATTGCTCTGTGGCGAACGATTTTGCATATACTATGGGAAGACGTCATTGACAGGAAGCAGAAGATCTTAGTTAAGTCCAGTGTTGACAACTGCGGTTATATTTCTGAGAAAACGAACTTCATGTGGATTGGAAGCAGGTCAGCCTTGTCAAAACCTTTTGATGGGGCGTTGCTCCTCGGAGCCTTGTGACAACACCACGGTTTATTTTTTCTTAAATATTTTATATTTAATAGAAATTAGAAATTTTCAGAAATCCTGGATAAACTAAGTATAACAAGAAAAAAAACTTCCGTGACAGAATAAGTTCGGTTGCCAAGTAACAATATTTATCCTGATGCGGAAATTTGTAGACGTTGTTGCGGTTAGCGCTGATACACTTTTCAAAGTGATAAGTTTTTCCTGTTGATTAATATCACAATATTAAACGACGTATTTTCGATGCAAAAACTTAACAGATTTTAACCTCTCCTTTTGTCCAAAAAGGGATGAGGGACAAAGAGGGAGGGCTGGGATAATAATAAGCATGGTCTCTAAAGCCCTGCTTAAATTAACGGGCCATCAGTTAGTCGAGCTTTATCTCAATGTTCGATAAATTTGTGCTAACACCTTAATAGACTGTATAGATATTAGTGGAAATGTCGGATCAAGTTTGAACGACTTCAAACTTTTTACCTAACATTTGTTTTGCTCTGTTGTTCGCGGACCATGCCTACCCATGTAACAACCTGTCTGCCAGTATCTGCCAGTCTTTTGAACAGCTTTGGCGACATGAATGGTGATTATTCAAAGTGAACAGACTGCAAATTATAGTAGTTGCTAAAAAACATATCTACGTGAACTGGGGTCTTTTAGCATGAGCATGCGCGGCCGCTGATCAAGTGATGTGCATGGAGGCTCACCACAAGGTCCGCCTTCATCAAAATGGCGCGTGTAGTTCGCAAAAAGGCTCTAACATGGTCTTAACAAAAGCGAAGTAGACCGGCTTTAACATACCACGAGCTACTATCAAATTTCATCACCCCACTTGACCTGGACAACAGCGCGCGTATATGTAGTGCTTGTAGAATTGCGCTGACCTCATCAAAGTCTAAACAAAGTGGGAGATGACAAAACGTGGAGCCCTACTCCATGGAGTACCCTATGGAGTACCTATAATGGAGTACCCCTTAAAACCATGTATTGGTCAAATAAAATACTTTGTCAACATGGTGAATCGTTTAGATGTACATACCTTTATTTATTTTGAGCTTGCCAGCCCTCTGATTGTTACAGTTTGATGTAGTCCAGGAGTTGACCGCCATCTTGAAAATTAAAATTAAACCGCTGACTACTTCAAACGGAAGGCCTACCCAGTATGGGTTGCTTGACCCCAATCTGGTACCCAGAGTCTTCAGGCTTTTTGGTCAGATGGGCAACGCCGGGAAGACTGCCCCGCTGACCAAACAGCCAGAAGACTCTGGGTACGAGATTGGGATGTCAAGCACCAGGGACGATTTAAGTTTATCAAGCTCGGGTGGGTGGATACTTTTGAAACGTTGATATGTTGCCTCTTCCTGTTGTAATTGATTGTAAGGTCAAATTTAATCAAGTATATTTTAAAACTTTTTAGCTGAATTTGATAGGTAAGCTTAGCAAAGTCCCGTAAACTACAATAAAAAAATTTGGCTCTTTTGGCTTCTTGAAAAAGAAAACGCTCAAAGATGCTGAGCATTTGAGGTGATCAGTTGATTGTTAAATTCAATTCGTGGACTGCATCTAACTGTGACAATCAGAGAGCTGGCAAGCTCAAAATGAATTAAGGTATGTAGCGTAAATCCTCTATTAAGTCCCCCGGGTGGCTTTATTTCAAGCCCATTTGAGGGGGGCTTTATAGAGACGGGGGGGCTTACTTAATTTAGTAACGACGATGGTATCAGTTCTCCAGAAAGAACTGGAATGCAAAGCGGAAAAGCTCAAGTACGAGAAGAGTTAGGTCATGCAGCCGAGGATCAGAATCAAATCCGAACTTCCAGTTGGTAAATAAACCATTCTGGGTCAGTCCACACGAAGTTTTACGGTCACAGACTATCAGAGAGGGGGGGGGGGGCTTATTAGTGGGAAGGGGCTTATTTGAGGGGGGGGGGGGGGGCTTAATAGAGGATTTACGGTACATCTAAATGGTTATACATGATTTTTAAGGATACTCCATTTTAGGTACTCTACAGGGTACTCCATGGAGTAGGGCTCCGCGTTTTGTCATCTCCCAAAGAAAGTGCAGAAACGTTTGTTGATGTAAGTAAACACTTTCAATTTTCTTTGTTTTGCAATGGGAATGGAACACTAATATTAAAAAAAAACATAGCAAATTTCAGCGAGTGGGTTCGAAGGGCGCAATTCTCAATGACTGCTTCTTAATTCGTAATACTCAATTCCGCAAAAAATCGAGAGTTGCAACACACTGCCAACTTACGTTTGAACGATACTGAAAACGTATCCCAAACCAAACAGTTCAGTCACGTTCCATCTCACATCACAAAAAACCTGTTTTGACTTGGTTGTGGGCTAGCGATGGCACGTGACCAAAGAAAAGTCATGTGATAAAAGCGAAGAAAACAATGCTAATACATATGCGCGAACTTTAACCAAGACATAATAAGTAAGGGGCAGGAGGATTTGGACAATTGTGGGTACCTATGGATAAATCCTGGCTACGCCTTTGGAGTGCGGGCAAAGAAGTAGCGCGTATTCCATAGAATCTTTTACCTAGTATCTATCTATGTAACGTAGCACTTTTTTATTTCTTCATTACGCTATCACTTTAGAAACTTGTGTTGCACAAACCTTGTAAATTCTAGAGCTGAGTGTTTCCGAGCATGGCATAGCATAAAGACCATCCTTTTCAGAAGGGCATGTTGTCGAGACAAATTTAAACAATCTTTTTTAAACACTAGAAATTTACTTTAAATATTATACTAAATTATATTTTTTAAGGTTTTATTTAATTTACTTGAAGTTGAACTTTGATGGAAAATTTTAGGATTTGAACATTTCATATTTAATTGTACATATTTTTAAGGTTCATTTATGCTTCATGTTCCTTTACATATTACGAAAGTTATTATGTTGGCGGAGTCTCGCTTTGGGCGAGCTCTGTTTGCTGGGACACAAAATAATCACAATCCCATTATGGGATATTTTGGCCACGGGAGTGGCCGTTTATTAAATTAAAGCATATAAAGCTGGGAAAAATAGATACACAAGAACATTATCCCAGCAAAGGTGAGGGCACACCCGCCACTCCCTAGGGTAAAATAAAGCTAACGGGAGGGAAGGGAGGGAAAATGTTTCTAACTGTCTTGTAATGCGAGGAAGGAGGCCTTGTGCCTCGCTTCTGTGACTTACATGACCCGTGACATAAATGACACTTTCGTGACAAATCACCCGGATGACAGGAAACCCTCCTTTGCTGGTAGCTGGAGAAATACAATAATGATCAGTCACATTAAGCATAGAACCATTTATTTCTTTCAGAAATAAATCTCATTTTTCTATGTTATTAATGTGAAGCGCTTGCGGACTTTTTAGGAATAAGCACTATATGAATAAATTATTATTATTATTATTAATTTTATTCAGTATTATTTTGCAGTATTACGTAACAATGCAAACTGTTAACCACGTATGACGCACGGCGTAGCCTATGTGGCCTAAAAGGAACTAACTTACTCTAGGAACGGAACTTTGTTATGAAATAATACATAGGCAAAATTTAAAAAATTAGTAATGAAACAGAAAGATAAAAGTAAAGATTATAAAATACAACTGATAAACAAAGCAAAAAATGATATTAACCTTAAAAAGCACTTGAAACTTCACTACTGCAACAGCAGTACATTTACACTACTTAAACAACAATTGCCTTGAAATTATTATTATTAATATATAGATTTAGCCAGGGCTAAAAGCGAGGCTCCCATTAATAAATTTATAATTAACAGTTAATGAATGAGGCTGAGTATCTTATGAAGAATTATGGAGATCGAGGACGGTGTTATCCGTCGAGGCCGTAGGCCGAGGCGGATAACACCCTCCGAGATCTCCATAATTCTTCATATGATACGAAAGCCGAATTCAATAACTGTTTTATTATTCATTCAAAATAATTCCCAGTTTAAAAACATAGCTAAAACATGCTTACCTCCATCGATGCATCGATGTTCAGTTCAACTTCGATATTGTACGCTTAGGTTTGTCCAGCTCCACAATATTCTCCAAATAGCAGATATCGCTCTTCGAGTTGTCTTCTTGCTGTTCTTGCCATGTTTTTGGTTATTTTTTCGCCTAGTTCTTACTCTTGAAACGAGTGAAATGTCCGCCATTTTTCAAGTTCACAACCAAACCAACTCAAACTCGTCCCCAGGTCTTCTCGGTTAACGGTGCCTTAACCTGCGAAAACGCTGCATTTTTTACGTCATTTCCTCGTTAAAGTCAAAATTCTTCCAAATTTGGTCATCATTAACTGGTTATGGTGAATTAAACGTGTGCTTTTAGCCAATCAGAATCGGGGAAATATTTTGAATGAATAATAATTTAAATTAAACAATAAACTTGTATTCGAATTCCACAATTCAGTTAAGTTTAGAGCACATTTATGTGACTTTTGAGGGAAAGACTACCTGATTTTAGAGAAAAATAATTTGCAAACAGCCCAAGAGTGAACCAAATCTTACATCGAGTTGATAGCCTCACATGTACACTTTAAATAACTGGTAATCATCTTCGATCACATTTAAGAGCCATAATGGCTCTTTATCACCGTAGATTAATGAGTGGAAAAATATACCGGCAGACCTCGGACAGAAAGCGGTATTTCACAATACAAATTGCACTCATTCAATATTCATAAACTGTTAAAAAAATTTCCAAAATCACCTATACGGCCATCCGGTTCTCACTTTTGTAGCGCGAGCTGTGGCGAGTGTTTGAATGAACATTAACAGAGTTACGCGCGGCATTTTGAGTTAAATAACTCCTGCAAGCGATGTAGTAGTAGTAGTAGTAGTAAATTTATTAAATCTCCAGCCAGTGGCTCTTCCGATTTAATTTACAATAATTGGAAATCGAATAAAAACGACTTATAAAAATTACAATAATATCATGATAAAAAAAAAAAAAAAAAAAAAAAAAAAAAAAACTCATTCAAATAAATAAATTAACCTATTCTAAAAATGCTAAACCTAAAAATTTACTACGAACTATTATATATTTCGCGCTTTACTGCGCGCTTAAAAACTGAGGCTATTTTTGTTTCTTCATTTTGCTCTGTAACTAAAGGACCTCTGTGCTGTGGCTGTCCTACAAAGCGGTACGACTAAATTGTCCCTAGATCCCTATCTATCTGTGGATAGCTGATCTTTTGTTGACGTAACACTCTAAATGTTCACTGAACGACTGAAAACAATCGGCACAGCGATTAAAATTACAAGAGAGACTACTAACAATCAATAAAAGAAATATAATTCGGTGAAACATATACAGAGACAAGAATTTTCATTCAGGAAGACAAGTATTAAAGTGTTCCTAAAAATCCTGAGTCTTCAAGCTTCAAGCTTAAGTTTATGTTCTAAGCCGGCTTCCCGGTGTTTGCTTTTTTCAAAGACGAACTCGAGGCAAGAAAATCGCCCAAAGCTTTCTTTTCCGGCCAGAATTATAACTGAATATTCTTTAGAATATTTTCTTTCTATTTGCGGTGAGAAACTGTCTAAAGGCTTTTTAAAGTTCTGTAAGCTTATATCAAACCTGATACTGGTCGATACTCGGTCAGATCATTGTCTCAAATCTTACAAACGTGCATAAACTAAATGCTCGCATAAACTACGCTCGACTTCATTAAATTAGATACAAAAAACAAACATCAAATACAACAATTTCTCTGGCTTAACATTCGAGATGCAGCTCCTGAAAGGTATCAAGAAAAGCCAGTATCGCTTCAGACTTTGCAATCCTCCTACGCATCAAGCAAGGTGAAAACGAAAACGATTCCATCCGAAATCGGATTTCCGACTTTGACAAGCGACGTATTCCTCAACCAAAAACCCAATAAACAAACTAGCCATGAATAACAGAAGACTCCTGATAGCAGCTGAATTTCATTTTGCACATCCAGTGGAAAAAGACAGTTAAAAACATCACAAGTTGACACAAAACTCTGTCAGCTTCAGCTGTCAAAGTAAACAAGATTCAAGATGCTGCATAAATTTTCCGCATGAACTCACCTGTCAAATTTTGACCAATCAGAGCATAAAAATTGGACGTAGAGCGTGACCAACGCGTGACCATGGTGAGAAAAGTCAAAACCAACCGTCTTCCCTGCCTGTAACAGCTGGCTGAATTTTCGCGTCCGAGGTCAGTTTGCAATCAAAATTTTAATTGTGTAGCACATAAACACAACATATTTCATATGAATTTAGAAAAAAATTGAACTTGAGCCTGCGATCACTTTAAAACTAGTAACTTGTCAGCGGATAGCTTCAAAAAAAAACCCGACCTCGATGGGTCCACACCTGAGCCTGCGATACGGTCAAGTGATACTGGTCAGCGGGTACCCTGTTTTGACAGCTGTCAATTGATCAAAACATTGATTTCCAATATGTGTGCATTATCAGTTCAATTAACTAGTATGAGATTGAACATTGTTCGCGATCTAGTAAAACAATTAACTGGTCAGCGGACAGCTTCCAAATAAATCACGTCACCTCGATGAGTTGACACATGAGCCTGCGATATGGTCATGGAATACTGGTCAGTGGCTATCCTGTTTTGACAGCTGTCAATTGACCATATTGTGAATGTCCTATACTAAAATCCTATATTAAAGATGTGGACTTGCCAAGACACGCCTGAAACACCCCTCCACTACTTTTGATAGTCTCCCCTACCCCACCCGTACAATCTGTAGACGCGTACGTACGTACGCTCGGTCAATCACTTGACAACCAAACGAAAAGAGGTTGACCATATTCCATGAGTATGGGGCTCTGTCCCACGCGCGCTTCGCGCGCGTGGGAGCCCCGCTATTATTGTTATTATTATTATTATTATTATTATTGTTATTTTGCTGTTTTGAAGTTAAATGATTCCGCTTTGCTTTGAAAATTGTCGCCTGCATACCATCCTAGTGGCGGCAAATGACCAAGTTCACACCATGACATCATGATGATTTCCATGATCTGGACTCTTTTTAGGTTTCTTGTCATGATGTGTTTCCACGCTGGTTTTCTAAACAATTAAAAAAATACATTACGGATGGAAAGATATCTTGAGATTGACCTCATGTTGGGCTACCTACAGTCGACTCTCGATAACTCGAACCTTCAAGGGAAATCAAAACAAGTTTGATTTATCGGAAGCTCGAAGCAAATAGCCAGAAGTAAGGGAAAAACCGGATTTTACTTTACAATGAACATTTTTATCACATTTAATTGTAGAAATGTGAAATGAAAATTGAAAGATACTTCTTGATTGTAAAAAAATAAGAACTTAAGGTAACAAAACATATAGCCTAAATAAAGCATATGTTTTACTTTTTTGAGAAGAAAAGCTGTTTCACGTTTTGTGACAAACAACATGAGCCTACAACACTGCGACAAATAATATGGGAAATTCACTGAAATTTGAGTTTCGAGCGCCAGTACACTGCTTTTTATCCCCCACTTTTTAAGCGCTCAAAACATGGTTCGAGTTATCGAGGCTAAAATTATATAGAAATGATCTGAGGGAGGGGGACATGGGGGTTTACGGTATTGCGGTATTGGGCTTTTTTTCACGCGGTATTTCGGTAATTGCTGCGGAGCGACCGAATGGAGCGAGCAGCAACATAATCAGGATTTAAAGGAAATATATAAGGGGCGACGAATTCTCGAATTCATCACTTTTTACCACAATGCATTGCATTTAACCAGAGTGCATTGCGCCACGAACAACTCAAATAAAAACACTGGGAAGTTCGGTGGGTGAGAGAGTGCATCGTTCGCTGCTCAGACTTAGAGTTTTCTTTGTGGCAAACTTCTACAGCACGGTTAGAGGTCTTACCAAATTTTAAGACACGCAGGAGTCTTTCAGATGAGTACGATGGTTAACTTGGGGATTGGATTTCAATTCAAGAGCCTTTTTGACTCGTCCAGGTGTTAAACCTGACGAGAAGATGAGCATTTGCTCTTCGACTCCGCAACACGGGGGATATACAAATTCCAGCTTGCTAGAAGGTGATGTGAAAGTGAGAAAATGTCATGCAATGCTATTCTTAAGAAACTGTATGAGCCGAAAATGGATGTGATTTTGACCATTCGCTTCAAAATAACAGCGGAAATCGAGATAACAAAACATGTGTTTTGTGTCCTATTTTGCAGACGAGGACGTGTATCGGCGTTTTGAAAAGTATAATTATGTTTTTTCATTCATTTATTGCCATGGAATATGCGTTTACATTGTTTTTTCACTGTCAATAGCTCGGTTAATGCGGCTGGCGATCATCTTGCCGGCGGAAGTTTCATGGAAAAGGAATAAAAGACTTTTCCTACAGACTACGTATTCAGTCTCTGTGGTGTTGTGGTTGGGTGTAGTCGCGTCGAGTCGGAGGTGCCGGGTTCGAATCCTACTGACTTATTTATTCCTTTTCTCTTTTTTTTTTCCGTTTTTTGTGTTGTTGTTTTCTATAAATATATAGCTAAATAACTGTTACTTAATAAAGTGCAACAAACAGCAAGAAAAGTATTGTGTTTCCAGAGAAAATATCGTGCGCCGTATATTAAATATATGGATAAACGATCTGAATTTCTATTATTTCCTACAATTTACTGTGGGAAAACCAGAGTTGATAACCACTTGATCATTTTCTCAACAACGTTCCCATGAGTTCTTTCTATAGACTGATAGTAATTATTCTAGTATTTTCCAACATGTAAATAGGACATTCAATGTCATTTTTGATTCTTTTAAGTCTCACTGCCTAACTAATGCCAATATCAACAGAATGTGCCGCAGCATTACTATCTTTTAGATACCCTAGTTTTAATTTTAACGTGCGTTATTGCGGTATCATCTAGCTCTACGGTATGCGGTTTTTCATCATTTTGGCTGACGATATTCGGTGAAATAAGATTGTTCACGGTATTACGGTACCGTTTAGTGGCGCTTTCCTTTCGATACAGTACCCAAAACAAAACACAGTAGGACATAAAGGTCAATAAAAGTTAATATTTAGAAGTCTTGAGACATAACGGCAAATGATTACACCATTTGTGGGTCATTTTGTGACAGTTAATGATAGGAAAGTCAGAGATCTTGAATATATTATCGCGCGAGAGGGTTTTCATTGCAGTTGAAAATTGGATGACGAGGTGTTCTCGAACTAGCAGCCTCAAAACGAGAACCTTTGAAGCTAAAAACTGCCAAGCGGTTTCTGCAGATGCTGTGTTTTGTTTTCTTAATGTTTTTGTCGAAAATGAACGGGCAAATGCAGAGTAAGTTGGATAAATAGAATATTTTTAATTTCAATGCGCATGTAGCAGAAAGTTGGTTGTATTAAAGCGCTAACTGTGTTCGCCGTAGTTGTCCGATTACTCATTTTCTTCCAACAATGCTTTGGGTAAGAACAACGTTTCAGTTAAGAGATAGTTTGTCAGCTCTCTTCCGCTATTTGGGCGTTTACGTTCACAAGTGTGTTAGCCTATCATTTTAGCATTAAATTTGACCAACATTTTGTGGAGCGATTTCTACGGTCACGATTGCCTTCAAACTTGCAGACACAAAACTAGAGAGCTGTGAGGCTTATTTGCTGAAGTTAGGGAAAAATCTGTCGTGGGATTTCGAAGTTATGTTTCATTTTTCGTAAAAATGAGGTTTTAAATATATGCCAATATCTCAAAAGTTTTTATACCTATAAGAAAATAAACTAGGGGTAATCATAGATTAAAGAGTGCGTTCGATATGCGAAGTGAGTTATTTCCGGGCAGACCATAGACTTTTACAGGCTTCTATGAGTAAGTGTCCAGGGAGAAAAAAAGGGTGATGATGATGGCAATGATTAACATATTGTTAAAAAACAATTTTACCGTGAAAAGGTTGATATAGAATAATATGTGTTGCCTAATTATATTGCGCATCAGTTAATAACAAAATGAAATTAGTTGTTAGTTGACCCAAGTGTTAGTTTCTTCAGCTGCAGGATTTAGATTTATTGGCAATAATCGGATAATTTCATTTGTACTAATAAAGTATAAGAAGATTTTTAGTCATGAAGCGACGAAAACAAAAATCCGACAGAAAAGCGTGCATCGTGCATGCAGGGGCGGATCCAGGATTTTTTTTAGGAGGGGGTGCTCTCGTCTCTTGCTCTACTTCAACACCAATAAACCACATAGTTTCTTTTTTTGCAGAGTACCAGTTGTATTAGAAAACCGCAGGTCATCTCGGGGGGGAGGGGGGGGGGGGTGCGCACCCCGTGCACCCTCCCCCTAGATCCGCCCCTGGCATGTGCAGTGTAATGTTTTGCTCGTTCAAAACTTGCTTGAATTTGTTTGACTTTGCTTTAAGCTCTCTAATGAAGTCAATCGGAAGGATATAAGCTTCCTTTTTAGCTTTCTAAATCCGGAGTTACTTAACAAAAAAAATAAAGTGCAGTGCTACCGGGAAAGCCTCGAGCAATAATTATTTAACTTGAACGCTGCATGCGGTTTTTATGTGACTCAAAGTTGAAAGATCCACACTACAATTCATAAAACTTAATTTGTTAATAACTAAACGAAAGTCGAAAGTCGAAGGAACATTACTTGTACGCCGCGTACACCAAAAATTTGCTCAATTAACGCACTTAATCGCATATGCCTGAATTCGAAATATATCCATTTAATTTAAGCCACTATAAAAAAAAACAAACAAACAAACAAAAGTAACAGAACAAAATTCACCTATGTTCGCGTTAAAAACCTTGAATCGAGCTTGAAAGGCAAACAGATGAAGAAACATTCTGATAGTTTCCATTGTGTGTTAAAGAATATTTTTTCATCTCGTCTTCTGGTTACAAGTCACGTGGACCAACTGTCATCTCGTATTGGTCGAAAAATGAGTGATGTGTTTTGTATCGTTCGTACCCAGGACAGCTAAGTTCTTTCAAGAGGCTAGGCTATTTGGAAGTCCGTCGCGAAAAATCTTGATTTTTTCTGGCTACTAATTTACTTAAAGTTCCATCATTATTTATTAAGGATGCAAAAAATCGTAGAAATCGGTTGAACCTTTCATTCTGGAACGCGAATCAAAAACATAACCAACACGCATATAAATAGGAACGGACCACCTTAAGGCATCCTCCGGGATGGAGAATTAAAAATGGCTGAAATGGGGCCCACCTGATTAACCATCAGACAAGTAGCCTGTTCCAGGCTCTCAGATAGTAGGGAAGACGCGAAAAAGTAAAAGACACGCGAAAAGTTGGCGGGGTGGGAAAAAATAAAAAGGAAGGGAAAGAGAGTTAGGAGCTGGTATATCGGAAGAGGTCATTTCAAGAAATGATTGCAGGCTCCACCGCCCCTTCTCTCCCCAGTTTCCTTCCGTTTTATTTTCGTGTCCACGCTTTCTCACTTCAGCGGGCCCGACTATCTCGTAGCCTGGAACAGGCTATCAGACAAGACACGTGAAGACTTGCGTTATTATCACTCTCTCCGCATTACAAATTTCGGCAAGAAAATTTTATAAGAATAACTTTTTTTGCGACAAAGGCGATGAAAAATTTCCATTTTCTACACCTAACGAAGAAATTTTTACCCTGCGAGCAGTGGTTTCTCGCGGTCGGACGCTACGGTGCTAAGGGAAAGAAAACACTGCGAGCAACCCTTCGCTTTTCCATCAAGGATGCGCGTCCACGTGATGCCTACGTCAAAACGTCAAATGGCGTCACTTCCTTTCATTTCGCAGGAAAAATTTGGGACTTACATATCCAAAGACAAGACCGCGTCGATAACGTCAACAAAACAATAGGTTTAAGTGATAGGCAAAATAACAACTTTGCACGTGCATCACGCTTTTCTGTGCTTGATTTCTTTGCCGTTTTTGCACGACTACGACGTGAAAATGCCTAATTTCGCGGTTTATGGCTAACGTAAACAAGCAACAACGAAATTTCTTTTCTGTTCGCTCCGGAAGTTGGATTTCAACTGCAGTTAGGTTCGCCTATATTTGACAAAGTAAGTAGGTAGGAAATAGAGGATACTTCATGGAAAGAGCGGGCGTACGGTATTTACGCACGAGTTGTATTTGTATCAGAAATCGAACGAGTGAGCGCAGCGAACGAGTGAGATGTCTGATACGTCAACAAAGCACTTCACGTGGTATTGTGTTTATTATATACAGCCAGCCTTTTATTTCAAATCTCTCCAGAATCCTAAATTGTCAAAATATGCCTTTACATACCGTGAAACGACAAAGAAAACGAAGTAACTTAAGCTTATATTAGTATTAAAAAATTCTTGTTAAAAATTGTAGTGAGGATAAGGATAGGAAAAAATCCAGGAATCACAAGTAATATTAACTTTTTTCTGAATGTACAAATAAAAATGAACGATTTTGAGTAAAATGACTGGTTTGAATATAACCAGAAGAATATGGCTTAACAAGCTTAGCTCCGATAAAAAGTTCAAGTACAAGCTTACGTCTCGTTCTGTTTTTTCCCCTTTCGCCGTCAAGTTGTCTTACCGTCTCTCTTCAATTTTCTTCATCGATAGTGAAATATACAAGACTATTCCAATCCAATTTCCGCGATTTTTCTCACTTTTCTACAAGAAAAACTCTACTTTATCGGGTCTCTTCTTCTGAACCTGAAAGCGCCTAAAAACGGCGAGAATTTTGGCACGAAACTCGCACACCTCTGTGGCTTTTGATTAGACTTATCATTTTTCTCACACATGAAAAAATATCGTGTGAAAAGCATCGTTCGCTCCTCTGATTGGCTAGAACTCATTTGCATATGAAATTTACGTCACAGCTTTTCAGTGAGTATATCTCAGTATGTATATAATAATGAATAATCCTAATAATTAGTGAATTAAAAGAGCGCAAGTTCACATCAGGCTCGCGTTGAGGTAGCAGTTGTAAGGGTAAGCAAATGCGCGAGTGCCTAAACTTGTTTTTAAACAGGTTATACATGTTTAAAGTTAATTTTTTTGTCCATGGCGCTAAACGATGGCTCGATCAAAGAAGCAGACGGTTCCTCGCAGTGGTTTCTTTCCCTTCGTGGATTAGCGTCCGGCCTGGAGAAACCACTACTCGCAGGGTAAGAAATGTTTGGCTGTTTTGCGGGTAGATGTTAACAGCCTGAGACCAACCCCCCCTCACGATAGTACCTTACTTTAGATGTACATAAGTCAATGAAATGATGTGTGGCAGAAAATACTAACATTTTTAACATCATTCTATAAAGTCTTATTTTTCAGTACCTTTGGCTGTGTTGGAATAAAATCAGGAGAATCTTTGTGGTCTTTATTTCTTTTCAAAACATCTTGCAGTTGAGATATCAGCTCCCTTAATTGTCTGTTGTTGCCTGGACTCTCCGCTTCGAACCCTGGAGGAGCGTAGGGCTGGGGCTTTGACTTGTTAATAGTGGTAAGATACCGCTGGATCAAGCGAGTAATCACTTCATGACGCTGAAAATGAAAAAGAGTATAAGCATGCATTTGGCATTAATGACGACGGTTTATTTGGCAATTGCTTTCAGTAACGAGGGTCGAGTCGGTTTTAATATTTCGTAAAAAAATACTTCATCCTTAAAGGCAACGACATGTACAAATTAAAGAAACACGAAAAAATAAATAAATAAGTAAATAAATAAATGCATAAATTATCTTTATTATCTTCGGTAGCATTTATGGCAAAAAGCTTAAGTGCGCCTGAGCAAATATATGAATGAAGGAATTCACAAGCAACATATAGAACAACGCGCGGAATCCAAACTGATAAAGGACAAATTTACAAGCGTGAGTCAAGAATTTAAGTTTTGGGATACTGAGTAACAAACCCCTTTAGTTCTTAGGGCGGGACCTCGAACCCGGGACGACCTGACAGTCTTCTGACTGCAAGGCCACGCTGCTTCCGAAAAACTGGTTATTCTGGTTATTTCGGTTATTTTGGTGTTAATGCCAATCAGACCGCTCATTTCAGCGGGAATATTCTGCTAAAAAAAGGAATACGCTTTGATTTACTAACATTTTTTCTTGCTATCAATAAAATAGCGGAAACATCTGGCTTGTACCATTAATTTGCACCATTACGTAGGGAACCATAGCAACTACATAACAAAGCTAAGGAAAAGGTCACTTGGAAAACAACAACAACAACAACAACAAACTTGAGATTTTCTGTGGCATATAATATTGTTAAAGTTTGATTAATGAAAATGTTATTTCTGACGAATGAGCCCGCGAAGAAGACAGAAATAAATATTTTGACGGCACGAGATACAACAGGGCCTGGGTACTAGGCCGGGTGCACCATGGGTAGCCATATCGGGGGTATATAAGGCTGCGGATATCACGTGTACGTCATCTAGGCTTACGAACCACCCTCTCTTTGGTTTTTCTTAACGTTTTTATCGGCTCTTTCTTGCGTTATTTCCGTCAGCAAAGACGAAGTGTCCGATCTCATTTAGGAGAATAACAAACAGTTAATGGACTCGTTTAAAGATTTGTTAACAGAAACTGTTGGTCAAATCAAGCGCGCTAACGAATATTTGGCCGAGCAGCAGATGAAAGAAATTAAGAAACTAAAGTATAACGAACCACGTAAGTTCAAGAAGAAGGCCAATGAAGACCAGTTTCAAAGGATCCACAGTACAGAATTTTGCGGCCATGTAGCGTACTAGGCTGGTAAGAAGAAGAAGACCACTCTTTCAACTCTCAACAACAGATCCTCGCCAGTGGGAACGCCGGCGTCCACCTCAAGTTCACAGATGCAACCCCAGCCTCTTATGTCAAACGTTCCTGTTTTTCGCCTTCTCGTCGACCCAGTTTCGGGACCTGTTTTGCCTGTGGAAAGCGTTCCTGTTACCCGACGATGGACAAGCCAAACATGCCAAACTCCTAAATGGCTAGATGAAGGACAACAATCAGGTGCAGTCTATTCTAATTTAGTACTGAATTTTTTAAGCGGCAAGGCGTAATATGGATCAGGATTGTCTCGATGTTATACCAGTTCTTCTGACGTTCACCCCGCTAGTTTTAGGCGCGGTTTAGAGCTCTGAGTGTACCGTTGATATTTCTATTCTACCTTCAGTTTGGGGAATATTTTTCATAGTGATCTATTTCTGGCATACTTTGCTAGTTTCTCTGTTCATTTTGAATGTTATTAGTCTAAGTTACAAAATTCCCTTCTTCCAGCTTTTTATGTTTTTTTTCTAATCCTACAATGCCTCCGCACGTGTTTACAGTTCTTTTTGTCTGTAGCTGTTAATGAGCTTCCCAGTCTCAACCTCTTTTCAGAAATTTTTTGCATTCCAATATCATTTACCCGCTTTCCGTTTGACCCGCCGCTCCGGCTAACAAAGGTTAATCCTGGATTTTAGGCACGTTTGCGCCTTTTTCTACAACAGAAATTCAAGAGCGAAGACTTGTCCATGGCCACTTAAATTTTTGAGACGGGTTTTATTTATTTATATTTTATATCTAGTGCGGTTATCGTAATTTTCCCTGATCACCGGTATTTCCTTGCGTTCACCTCGGATCTCGGCACCTGGATTTTTAGGTATTTTCTACTTTACGCGCTTCCTATTGGGTTCTTGTCAGCCTCCCTCGAACCGCTTCAGAAATCAAGAAGAAGCCAAGGTATCCCTATTGCCATTTTTCTTGACTATGGTCTAGCTATAGGAGGAGGAGCCTATCGCGTTCAGGCCAAAATTTACAGTTTGCGGGCTGTTCATGCCGATTTGCCTTAGTCTCGCTTTGTTCGAATTCCTAATGAGGAAAGGTCCCTGTGGGAGCCCGTTCAAATTTTCTCGTGGCTTCGTGTTCATAACACTCTCGATGGAAGTATTAGAGCCACGGATGAACGCATTGCTAAATTGTGTCACGACCTGGTGGCTTTGTCTTCATATTAGTCTTCCACCACAGTCCATGTTCTACGGGTCCCGTGTGTAGCTGGCCAAAGTATTTCCCTCTCGAGTTGCGTGGGATCCGTCGCGTGTATCATAGTCCAATTTCTTTTCTCAGTTGTTTACTCAGCTGTTTCCTGGGATAGCTAGGTTTTCCTGTCCGTTGATTCTTTGTATGAAATTGAATTTTGGTCGAACAATGTTAGCCTCTCAACGGCAAAATTTATTGAGGGGTTTCAGTTCGCTTCCAGTGAGAGTAAGCTCCGGCTTCTCCGATGCTTCCTATTCAGCCTGCAGCGCTTAAGAGGAGTCTGAACCTGAGCTGATTTTTCATCAGAATTGGTCGGAAAGTGTTCGTAGATCGACTTGGAGAGAACTCAAAGCGGTTTGTCTTGCCTTACTAGCCTTCGGGAGCCCTTTACATAATCAGTCCAAGGTTTTTTTCGTATTCTGACAACCATGACGTCTAATCCATTCTTCGCGACGGCAGCAGGAAACGCGATCTCCGGGATTTAGCCCTAGTTGTTTTTCAAATTTGCTCCCATCATTGTATTTCGTTCGAGGTCAAGTGGATCCCTAGGGAGCTGAACGCCAGTGCGGACTGTATCTGCAAACTGGTTGACGTCGATGGTTACGGCCTCAACGATTCCGTTTTTCAAGGGCTAAATCACCTCTTAGGTCCTTATACTATTGACAGGTTCGCCTGTAGCTACAACGGCGAGTTGCCTAGGCTTAACTCTCGATTTTTTTAGCCAGGTTGTTAGGCTGTTTATGCCTTCGCTCTAAATTGGAGTTAGGACGACAACTGGCTTGGCCCACAGGTTTGTCTCATTGTCAGAGTCACCAGACACATTGGGCTCTGCCGCGCTCACGGGAACCCTTGTTCCTTCCCTATGGAAGTCAGCTATTTTCTGGAATGTTTCTACTAGAGATGGAGTGCATTGGAATAGTTTTGTTGTCGACTGGGTTTTATTGCCTAAGTTCCAGGGGTTATTTGTTCAGGGAAGGCCAATAATTCCCTTTTCAGATCCAGGCCTTTATTTTTTGGTGTCATAGCGCTTCGAGTTTATTTTCGGCGCCCCAGACCTCTCTCGTCCCTGGCGGGCTTCTGCTCTACGCCGCCTGACGGAAAGTGTTACCTGTGCCTCTACACGCGTGTTATGCGTACCTTAAGGTTTGGACCCATTAGGTTTTCTTTTTTATTTCGTGCTCCTCACATTTTCTTCTTGTATTTTCGATTACTTTTCAGATATGTTCCGCTATGGTTTCTAGCGCGGGCCTCAGAATTTCCCACCAGAGGGTTGAATACTGAGGCTGACAGACAGTCTACAATGCAATCAACGGTTCTCTCCTCAAAGGCCGTTAGTATGACAGTGGTGTACCTTCGTGCTTCTCGCATGTAAAAATGTTTTGCTGCCAGTAAGCTTCATTCCCGGGCCTGTCCTGCCAGCCCCTGCCATGTTGCCTTGTATTTGCAACACCTCATTGAAGAGTCGCACTCCCCGTTCGTCTTAGACTCGGCTGTTTATGGTAGTAAATGGGCTCATACCATAGCGGGTATCCCCTCTCCCACGGATAAACCGATTATTGAAGAGGTTAGGTGTGCTTCCAAAAGGATTTTTGGTTTGATGAGGTCTCCATAATTAGGGGGAGTTATATTTTCATGAGGGTTTCATGATCATTAAGGTTCTCAAAAGCAAGAACGACCAACTTTGTAAGGGCGATGAATCGAAGTGATTTTTTTTAGGCCCATGTCTCGCGGAAACAGCTCCTTTAAGTTAGTTTCCCAGGACGAGCCTATCAGCTATACCACAATTAGAGAGGCTTTTCGCAAGGACCTGAGATGTTATTTCTCACGAATGAGCCCGCGAAGAAGACCGAAATAAGTATTTTGACGGCACGAGATACAACAGGGCCTGGGTACTAGGCCGGGTGCACCATGGGTAGCCATATCGGGGGTATATAAGGCTGCGTATATCACATGTACGTCATCTAGGCTTTCGAACCACCCTCTCTTTGGTTTTTCTTTATTTTTGTTTTATTTATTTTTAGGAGCAACATATTCTCGATGACATTGTAAAGTCCCGTAGGAAGGGCTTTGCGCTTGAGTCTTGGTTCCTACCCAGATTTCCTGCCCGCATTTTTTTTCCCTTCAAGGTTTTTTTTTTTTTTTTTTTTTTCTGGCCTCCGTCTGACCGCATTTACTTCAGTTTGTAAGCGGTAGCTCAGCTCTGCTAGTTTTCAGTTTTTTCCCGTTTCTTATTTTCTGTACTTGTACAGTTATCTCAGTTTTGCACCTGCTCCTTTACTTGATATATTTAGTTTCTATGTATGTCTAGGTCAGCTGTCCCGGAACCGCTCTTTAGGAGGCGACATAAGTCTCGTTTGATGCAGTTGGGTTGCAGGCAATGTTACAGACTTTTAGCCAGGGTCGTTATCCATTTGTTTACTTTCAATGTCCTGCCCTAGCCTTTATGGCAGCCTTACTGGTTATTGGGCTACGTGCCTTGTTGGGTACATTAGTGGAGATAATTCCCAGTTTTCCTGGCACTCAGCCTCTGTGCTCCTGAAGTGTTCCTGGTCCCAGTTATCCGTTGATCAGAGTTTTATTAAATTTCCCCAGCCTAACTGGCAGCCTAACTGGCACTAAGCCTGCGTGCTTCTTTGGGGGACTCAGGTCGAGATCGACCAGTTGTAGCAAATCTCTCTTTTGCTTAGCCTCTGTGCTCCTGCCGTGTTCCCTGTGCCAGTTATGCGTTGTCAGTTTCATTAATTAGTTTCCCCAGCCTAACTGGCACTAAGCCTGCGTGCTTATTTGGGGGATTTAGGTCGAGATCGACCAGTTATAGCAGTTTTTCTTTTTGCTTAGCCTCTGTGCTCCTACCGTGTTCCCTGTGCCAGCTATATGTTGTCAGAGTTTTATTAATTAGTTTCCCCAGAATAACTGGCAGCCTAACTGGCACTAAGCCTGCGTGCTTAACTGGGTGATTCAGGTCAAGAGCGACCATTTGTAGCACGAGTTTTTTCTTTTTGTGAAAGCTAGTTTACGAGTGTTGTACATTAGGTATTCACCAGTAATCACCTATTATTGTATTTACATAAGTACTTTGTAGGGTTGGTTCTCGCCTAGCCGTCCCAAAATAAAGTTATTTGCCATTACGTTTTGTCTATTGATGTTGTGTAGTGGAGTCAAAATGAGATTTTTTTCGCGAAGGATAGAACGGCGCCGAAGCAAATCGTTTTAATTCATTTCTTAGAATACTAGAAATGCAATTTCAACGAAAGAAAAAAGACAAAAACAAACAAAAAAGCCACAAGAGCTTGTTTGAAAGTTTGTCGAAAAACAGATGGAACTAAAGTACCTTGACCAGCTACGAAAGAAGACAAGTGTTGTTTCTTCATGATCGCGAAGCCATTCGCCGATCGAGTCACTCGCCGATAGATAACTGCAGCTTGTTTATCCAACATCAAGAATATTAATCACAAGTAACCAGCTACAAATACAGGCTATGCAGCCATTCACTAGAGCAATCGAGGCGGCAGTATAGCTTCTTTCCTCGTTCAGCAAAACCAGCTTGTGGCTTCAAACAACTTCATAACAAGCGACGAGTTAACACCGGTAGTTTTTCTCCGTTGTTCTTACTTTTATAACTGCACCGAAAATCCAAATTCATAGTAATTTCGACGGCTGTCACTTAAAAATTCCTTTCCTTCACATTATCTGCCAGGTTTTTTAAGCTGTTCTGCTGTGTAAAATCCTAGAATCACGATGAGTTTTTAAAAAACTAATGTTCATCGCACAATGTTTTGATTTTTCATTCATGCAGTCTAGGCGAGCCCGTTGGCGCGTTGACAGTTTTGATAGACGTGTGACATGTCAATAGCGGAAGTCCCTTGTCTTTTCCGGTTTGTTCTAGTCGGGGCGATTCAACGAGATTTTGTGGGCGTTTTTAATAAAACAATTATTCCACTCGGGCTTGTTGGATATGAAATGATTATAGCCAACTCGGCGCTATGCGCCTCGTTGGCTATCTATCATCTCATATCCAACGCGCCCTCGTGGAATAATTGTTAAATATTCACCTCCTAGAGAGTGGAATAATGTCTAAGCTCGGTGTTTTTCCCATTTACTTTTGAACTTTTAAAAGCCGACAGAATCCTAGTGGTGACTTTTTTAAGGTAAGAAAAGACTTCAAAGGATTCAAAACGGCGTTTTTCTATTTACTGTAGCTGAGTTTTGTACTCGATAGATTGTTTACAACTCCCGTTTATTCGCGTAGAAGAGATAGAAGCAAATGTTTGCAGAAATTCTACGTTTCAAGTAAATAGAAAAAAGAATGCTACCGGAAGACAACGTCTTACCTCAAGCAACCGAGCGCCATTTTTTGATTTTTTCAGCACCTCATGCGAAGAACGACACAACAAACCTTTTTTACTATAAACTTGGCGAGTCAGCAGAAAACAACAAAGCTCTAATTTTCCTCTCAGGTAAGGAAACAATTCAAATTTTGAACGGTTCCATTTAAGCCATTACGCTGTTGTTTGCGAAGTGATAAACTTATGAATTGCTATGTTTGAAAATTCTGCAAAGATCTGTTTTGAAACGTTTGCGTGATTTGATCCGTCAATCAGATCGTACGTTTTAACGGTTTCCTCTCTGATTTTGTTGAGATCACTTCGTGTGTATATACTAAAACAATTATTCTTTTCAATTTCGGTGAATAGTGGCTTTAGGAATATTTTCCTCGCCGCTTCGCGACTCATTAAAAATGTAGCCACTATTCACCTCGATTTCAAAGAATAATTGTTAATTGTAAGTGGCCTTGCGAAAATGTTCCACCTGACAGAAAATTTTTACCTGTTTTTCATACAAATTTCATACGCCCAGTCTTTATCATTATGGTCGCACGAGTTTGCGAAAACAAATAAAGAGCACACCGACATGTATTCTAACTTAAGCTATCGTTATTGAAGGCGCCATTTCGCTGCCTAAAGAAAGATGCCTCATAAGAGGCCGACGTTCCAGTTATATACTTACCCTCTGCATGTCCGCCTTTTTCCTTCTGGATTTAGACGCAGATGGAAAGCTTCCTTCACGGCTTTCTCGCTAAAATTTTAAAAGTAAATCGTACGAATAATTATAAAGAAAAAACGTCAGAGTGCGGTGGGGATCTAGGTGTGGGGCCCTGGTGATGTAATGTTACATCAAAATGAGGCCCACTGGGAAGAGAGAAAGTATTTACAGAGCTTGTTTCCCTTCTGATCTCATCTCGTAGATCTAAGAAATTCTGTAATGAAAAGAGTGAAAATGTCATTGTCTGAGCTTAATGAGATAAATGTAAAGATATATTTGGCAAGTAAAGACATGAATTAATTGCAGGGTTCGGTAAGGTGAGATACCTCAATTTCCGATTCTAGATTTTTAGGTATCAGTGTAGATTTTAGGCAATAGATCAAACGAATGAAAGAAGGTGTTAAACTAGCTTCTTTTGTACGTACGTACCACAGAAGACCTATGACGCGAGCACAGTCTGCGGCAGAGTTTAAACACCCAGTGTGGGGGAGGAATGATGTTGAATGGAGGCGGCATTACATTGCCATGATCTAAATATAGCATCCACATCCGGGGTTCTGGAGAATTTCCATTGAATATCTACGTCATCCCATAATTTAATACAAAATTGAGCAGCCTTAGTTAAAAGACAGCACCGGAAGACTCTATTCACAACTGTGAGCATAAAAAGAAAGGCCTAAGGACCACCATATTTCCCCGCAAACTTCAAAAAAAGTAAACAGGGCGGAGTAAACAACAACGACTTGTGATTTAGACTTTAAAAAGTAACCCCAAGAGATATTCCTGAAGCAGTTATGGTAAATGAACAAGCGTTGGAAAGTGTAAACTGGAGAAACTAACCTTCGGCAAGGATTCTTCGGAAATGCAGTCTTTCATTAATTATAGCAAGACAACCTCACAC